ATTATGTTAAAGAAAAAATATTACATTCTTATCAATATGAAGAAGGACACCTCCCAACCTCTACCTTGCTTTAACCAATCAGGGTCCAGTATTGTAATGCAACCGCCTCTCCCCTGTTAATAATAAACGGCACATCATCACTATACAGTAGGTGCTTCATACAGGTCGCCTTGGAAACAAATGTGCCCATGTGACAATATGCCACGAAACATTCGGCACATTTACATGAGTTTGTAAAATAAAGTACAATATGTGAAAAACTAAAATAGGCCAACAGTCGCTCAACATAATTTTGTTCTTGTTGTTGTCTTTAAGGAGTCTTAAATTGTTTTCATGACAGGCTAAATATGGCTCTCCCCACTATGATCCCACCCCTCATCGCCTAAATATGGACTCATCTGTTGTCCTGCATGTCGGGTAGGAGGAGGAGACAGCGGCGTCCTGTGCAGACGCGGAAAGTCCCCAATTATGTGGTAATTCTAGAGAGTGGTTGTGATATTTATTCTTATTGCCCAAAGAACTTGGCATTTATGAGACTCCCCACAAACACATTCCCCACAGCACCGGCAAACTGTATGCCCTTTGCACTCGTCCAATCGGGTGAAACAGCAGCTGAAGCTGATTTTGGGAAGTCTCCAGCAAGCCCTGTTTATTTCATTCAGGTGCTCTTTTAAAAAATAAAAAGAGGATTCATTAGGTTTACAGCAGCTCCTCTTTGACAGTTGTTGATGGGTGTAATTCTACACGCCATAGCAAACATTTCCTGGTGTTTCAAGTACAAGGATTGGAATTTTTTTATTTGCTAAAATATAGTCACGGTGTTCACGAGGCACTGATGGATCTGAAAACTTGATGACAAGTTGTCAATCAAGAATCTTTTATATAGCAGAACTGCTGCCATGCATTGTGCCCGTAACACCCCTCAAAAGGCCAATTGACTGCACTCTGTGCTTAAAAGGTATGATTTGACTCGACTGGGTGTGCATTGTATGCAATCAGCAAGGAGGCTAAATGTAAAGATGAAAGCGAATGTGCAGAAGTTGCTGTGCCTCTCAGACGCAGCGAGGCAGCTGGATTCTCAGCGCTCATGCCGTCACAGGGCACAATTTATGGCCATTATGGTGGTCTATTTCTAGCTCTACTGATGGATTCTGCTCAATTATTGTCCATTATGGAGAAAGATGGCCACACAAGCATGCCAGAAGGTATTGTCTCCCGCTGTAGGGACATTACATTGAAATCATCACTGCACATCCAGCTCAGGCAAAAGTAACAAAAAACTGCAATAGTGTCGTTCTGGTACAGATTTGTGGAAAAGTACCAAACCTCATTTGCCTACAATCCCTTAATACTTGTGGGCCATTATAACAGGTTGCATATCTACTATTGCGAGCAGTTCCCTGACAGGAAGCTTTTTCTAGAATAACCAGTGCAGTGCCCCTTTTAAACGTACCTGTGTTTTCATTGCTTGGCCTCCAGTGTTGCTTCTTGCAGCTTTTACACTCCACAATGCACCTCGGCTCCTCAGTGATTCACCTGCCAAGTTTGTCAAGTCTCAGGCTTGTCCAAGTATGTAAACTAATAGCAAATCCGCCTTATTTTGAAACGAAATAATATATACAGTTGAAATGTTATTCTCCTAATTATTTTTGTGATCGGCTACTCAGTTTAACCATAGCGCTATACGGCAATACAGTAAAGTGCTTATCAAAAATGTATTATTGAGTCCCCAAGACGTAGTGTTTTCAACCAACTAATGTTGCTAACGTTAGCTCAGTTAGCTTAGCTTAGCTTAGTCTTATCGCAAGACAAGGACCTGTCGTGTTTTGAAAATTACCCGGAACTTCTAGTAATAAATTTGCCATCGTTTTAATTGTAAATGGTAGTATTTGTTTTGTGAAAAAAGATTTGTCACAGCCGAAAGTGAATCTCACACCATCCAGTCCAGGATCCTGAGTGTGATTTCAGCACAACATTGCAAATTATTTAACCCTTTTCCCGGTGCTGACCCATGCACCAGGCTTACAAGCCAACAAGTAAACCCTCCTCCGCCATTGTCCTGCTTTCTTTACGGCTGAATAATGGCGAAGAATCGGGAAATAGAGGCCGAGTTCCTATTATTCCTGGCATCCAGACGCTGCAGTGGCTCTCGTCTCGACAGAGCTCGGCCCGGCACTCAGCACAAACTGGAGGTAAGTGAGAGCGAGAAGTCCCGGCCAGATTCACAGCAGGCCACCGAGGGCCTCTAAATGCCACCGTAGCCCCCCGGCGGATATTAATCAAAATCTCCGATCAATAACTTCTCAAGTGCTAATAAGCACTGGCACATTTTGTGATATGTGAGCCCCTTCATCATTTCAACTCGCCGGGGATTTATAGGAAATCCATTGTTAGGTCCAAGTATGAGGTAATGTAGCACTTAGTAAATGAAGTAAAACCAAAAGCCCGGGGTGATTTGTATTTCATTTACAAAGGACATGTCTCATCATTAGGAGCTCCGTCTCTCTAAAATGCAACCAAACTGCTCTAATGATGGCTGTGTTATTTTATAGCTTACTTACTCAGCAATGACGCAGGAGATAACAGCAAATAGTAAAGCATCGCTGTCCTCCGCTGACTGGTTCACTCCCAGAAAGCCATAGGGGACCACTATCCACCGTGGAGTGATTAAAGTCAAGTTAAGCAAGCATTATGGGTCAAGTCATAAAATAATTAGATTTCTGTTCCCCTCCACTGTCTCCTATCAAAGTGATTGGTCTCCTGGTCATCTCACTGGCTGACATAATTGTTAATTAACCATTATGGGCTGCCCTCTCTCATCTATATCTCGCAGCAATTACTCATTTGTACAACAATGCACTAAATCACAGCGTGTGATGTATGGAAACAGACCCGTCTTATGAGCATGAACTGAAAGTGTTCGCTGTAGTCGAGATGCTTTATTTACTCAAGTATCGATCGCCATCCTGTTTGTCTTAAATATTTTCCACAGGCGCCTGAGATGATTTATTGTAAAGTCTTGACGGCTCTATCTCAGTGAGCACAATGGCATATGCATAAAGTTTGAGTAACTGATTGTTCTTTTTCAACTTCTGTGAGAAGTCCTATACTACTTTTTTTTGCCATTCGCTGAAGTCATCATCTCTTTGCACGTCAATGTGAGTTGTCTTTTCAGAAATACCACAGATCAGGCAAAGAGGTACAGGGGAAAGAAAGTTAAATAAAAAGCTCTTTAAAATGGTATTCATAAAGAAAAAGACAAACAATGTACTTGTTGAAAATAAAAGCGCACACAGAAATCCATTCTGATGACAGTTGGAAGAATGCAGGCTTTATGGTGGGACTTGAGCCCCATCTTTGCCATATCTTTTAAGCATGATTATTTACTTAAAACAACAAACCAAAGCCCAAAGTCTGGCATTGTGGACGACGGGCCTTTGATTGAGCTCTGAGCTTGAATTCTTAACTAATAAATTGTTCCACGCCTTTGTCTGGGGCATTAACAGCAGTGGTCTGCGTTGTTCTTGCCCTAATCTCAAGAATGCAGCAGCCTCTTGAGAAGCTCAGGGGTTTCCTCCTCTTCCAGAGCCAGGTCTTCACTTTGTTTTCTTAGAGGACTCCCCGGATTGACAGGCCTCACCGTTAGCCCTCTCCCCGGCCATCTGTTTTCACCGATTCAACCGACCCAACACATCAAAGTCAATTTAGGGTTGCAAAGCATTTTAAAAGACACACACACACACACACACACACACACACACACCACCACCACCACCACGCTGCTTGTGTGTGTGAGAAATAAAGCAAACTTTTCAACAGGCTCACAAAAAAAAGAGACGGTTTGGACTGTGTGTTTGTGTGCTTGGTTTTCCATGTGAGGGTGACCTGGGAGGGATCCCTTAGCTCACAGCACAGGTATGAGCAGCTTAGCTTTGTTCACTGCCTACTCTGACGACAGCTCCGTGAGTCACCTAAAGACACATAGACCAACCTCCTTTGGTCCGGTTCCAACTATTCACTGCAACTGCCTAACAATAAAATAATCATTAGTGAGATTGAGACAGGGCACATCGTTTTCAAAGAGCAAAATTGTCTTTGCGTGGCGATAGAATGGGATATAAATAGACACCTTTGCAAATGTAAAACTGTCAGCATTGGCAGAATTATTCAGATCTTTGGCTTTAAAGGTAAATTACAATAGAAATACACTATTAAACTTACATACATACATCCTATACGTACATCTTGTCATACACTTGTCATAAGTCATACATCTTGCTTGAATAGTTTCAGCAAAATGTATTGTTACAATTTTACTCATGAATTAACTTGAACGAAACATTTTAATGCTACAGATTAATTGTGACAGAACAATACAACTTGTTACTGTTGCTTTCAGGCAATGCCGTGAAGAACAAATGTAAACATGCACTATTTCTTTATTAAGTGTAGTTTGGTAAAGTAGAAAAGCACTAAAGTAAAGCAAAAAATGTAAACCTCAAAATTGTACCCCAGAATGTTTAAGGATTGAGTATTGTATATGTTTTTGTAAGAGTATCCCTTATTTATTTTCTGTTTGGCTTGTTACACACTCTAACATAATTGTATGTATATCTAATGTGTTTAAATCACACACAATAAATTAAAGTAGCCAACGGTATTTGGGTAAATAGACTATCCAGTATATTTATATGGCCACATTCGACTACATTTTGGAATAATTCATACAACTACATAATCCGAAACCCAATTCAAAATACAACAACACATTTTATTCTCAAATAAATATGTAACGAAGCACATGACACAAATAAAAGCATGGCGTTTGTGACTTGTGAAGAATAAGTAAATGGTCTGAGCTCAGCCAATAGGAGCGGCCGACGAGCCTCCGCGTGGGGGGGAGGCGGGTCTGGACCGGTTACCTGGCAACTGTGTGGACACCGTGTTGATAGTATGGCAAAGCGGAAGGTTTGGACTTTATTTTTGGTTTAAAAAAAAAAAGTAAAACTACGGAAGATGTCTCGTCAGGGTTTCTTCCACTACGTGCCTTCGGTCTTTAGACGTGGTCCAACTTTTGAAGCACGGCGCTCCGCTCGTTTAGTAAAGTTCTCCCGTTGCCTGCTAGCTTAATTAACGAGCACCTGTGTGCATCTAACGCCGTACGGTTCCGTCCATGTTGAAAACGGTGAACGTAACCGTTAACTCTCCAACGTTAACTTGTTTCTTCCTTTTGCTTGCTGCGATGTGTCTAGACAGCGTGATTGTGAATTACATCTTTTTTGTGTGCGTGTATTTATCGGTTATCCTGGTCTGAGACGTTACGTGAATGCAGTGATGTTACATTTCGCAGGGCTTGACGTGGAAAGCTAGCAGCTCGCTGGTGCTCAACTCGGCTGCCTTTCAAGACCACATCACACGCAACCTGCTGCATCCAAACGTCCGACTTCCTGCCCCCTTCCCGAGGGGCAAAAAAGCAGCGAGAATAAAACTAAAGGAAACTGCTCTGCAGACACACGATCAGCAAGAGGAGAGGGAATACGTGCTTGATTCTGCGCCACCCCCTTTAACGCTGGGTAAAAACAACCCTGGGAAATATAGGAACACTATATTTGTGGTGACCTCCAGGATGTAACCGGTGTCTTTCCTGTGTCTTCTAGCTCAGAAGTTGGGTTTGGTGGCCTCCCCTGCAGGGAGGATATCTGAGGACGAATGGTCTCGGGTCAAGGAGAGGTCTGTTCGGCAGGGGGACTCTGCACAGCCGTGTGCAATATGCAGGGAGGAGTTTTACCTTCAGCCCCAGGTATTCCCCCAACACCGCCCCAATAGCTGCTGTGAGAGTGCTCCTTTTGTGTGTGTGTGTGTTTCCAACATTCTGTCTGTCCTCGGGGAAACCTGTGTTTCCGTATGCACACATGGTCACATACACAAAGCCACTCCCCCCTCCCCCCCGACAGTTCCTGTATGTCCTAATCTGTGTAGACAACTGTACAAATTTACCCATACTGCCTTGGAACTCAACTGTGACGTGATGATGTAGCAATCAGTGTGTTACTGTGAGGGTCATTCAGTCCTTTACACCTTTCCGATCCCCTTTTAAGATGCCAATCTCCTCAAGAATGTGGGACTAGAATAGGCGGCCTCACAAAGCACAGTTGCCATAGATGCGTATGTAAATATTAGTTTGACTCAAGGGGGGAAAAAAAGTTAATTAGAGCCTGCTAACAAGGGAAAGTGACAGGAGGGAATCTTTGTTGATTTTCCTGCAAACCTATTCTAACGACGTGTATTTTGTTGCGCCGTCTTGCATTCAAGCATTAATATGACAATAAAAAATGCTTCCAGCGGTGGTGGTTCTTTGTCAGCTGTGTTGATGTTGCTTCTTTATCCAGCTCATACTATTTTTAATACAAGTCACTTTGTTTTCTCTAATAGGAATAGATTTTTAATGAAAAGGATGCTCTGCTCTCTCTTACATTTTACTCTCTTTCTATATTGTGTCCATAAACTGTAGCTCGCAGCCTTAAAACATTTTTAGACGTGAAATTTCTCTGTGGTTTAATAGCTTGTCGAGCTCCTAGAAATTGTACACTACAGGGGGCCCTTTCACTGGTGATGGAGTGTGTTGGTCAGGCCAAAACAATGGGAAATCAATATGCCTCCCCCTGCCCTCTAGAGATCTGAGTAAACTGGGTTGTGTGCCAAGCCCAATAGCTTTGGCTGTCTCCTTTCAGACCATAAAAGAATCCCACTCACAGGTAGAAGAGACTATAGTCCACAGCCCAGCCGGCCCACTGGGGGTTCTGCTGACTCCCTCTATCCTCTCAGCAAATAACACTTAAAGGCAGACACATACATTCTCATACGTGCATGAATACACACATTTAGCTTGGCTTCAGGCTCAAATACGCACAGCCTGTGCACAGACTGTATACCATATGAGAGCTTTTTTGTAAGCACTTGAAAACTCGAAAACCACTACAGGCTCAGCAGCCTCCTCTGGAGACCTTTCAAACCATATAGTCGACCTATGAAATTGCATGCATGATACAATTTTCATTTCAGATGCACTAAATAACTTATATCATGTTTTTCTGTTTTTTTAGGTGTTGCTGTCATGTTCTCATGTTTTCCACAGAGCATGTTTGCAGGCCTTTGAAAGGTTTTCTGGGAGGAGGTGCTGCCCAGTGTGCAGAAAGGAGCAGTATGAGACACGGGTGATCCACGATGCAGCTCGCCTTTTCAGACATCAATGTGCCACCAGGTGCATGCAGTAGATGCATTGTTTTAGTTTAAATGCACAAAATACTTTGTTTCAATACATGTATGGGACAGACAGATTCAGGATTGTGCAAACTGCCAAATAGTCTCATAATCTCAGCAAGTGATTTTGACAAAACAACATCTTTCATCTAGTGTTGAAGGAAAAAAATAAGCTTGAATACCAAAATAATCTTTTATAAATGAAATTGTCAATATTAATAATAAGTAATAATAGTCGATCCCATTTTATTATGAATAAAGGGAATCTGCGTTAAATGAAAACATGGACTCATGATCAAATATCGGAGTTGCATATGACATTTCTAAACAATCCATAATATTTGTGCCGTAATAGTCTCAGTTGGAATACATGGAACCACACTTGCTATTAGAGCTTGGTTACGGTTTTACTTAATGAGAATTAAATAAATTAATTTTCAATATGTTAATTTGGCCTGCCTAGAAGCTTAGAGCCTCTCCAAATTATAGCAGTCCATAAATAAAGTGTTGACATGTTTTGACGGTGACTTTTTGAATATATTTTGAGGATGTGTGTGTGTCTGTGTGTGTGTTTGTGTGTAGAATTCAAGCACGCTGGCGAGGCTACCTGGCTCGAAAAAGGTACCAAAAATTGAAAAAATCCATCTGTCCAAAAGACACACGGCTGCGACGGAAATTCTTTGAGGCAAAGGTGACTTTCTACTTCAAATTTTCAGCGATCACAATCAGGTTTAATTAATCAATCATTCTTCTTTTGATCACACTGGGGTCACGGGGCCTAGCATCCGTCTCCTACATTTCACGCAGGCATTTCTAGACTCTTTTAGTCAAACAAAGCTTGCGACAAACGTCAAGTCTTGATGGTCTCAGGGACTCGCTGACCCCACTGCTAACTTTCAGACACACCTTCACCTGCTCTCACCCTCTCAAGCTTCTTTGATGCTTTGTGAATCATACACTGATTGTCCACTAATGAGGAGAGAGTTTTGTGTTTTAGTCAAACAGTCTGGACATTCCAGGGTCAACACAAAAGCTTGTCGTCTCCTGTGCATGTTTGGGTTTTAGTCTTCCTTTATCTGTGTGTGTGTGTGTGTGTGTGTGTGTGTGTGTGTGTGTGTGTGTGTGTGTGTGTGTGTACGAGAGTAGCTTTGTCACTGTGTCGGATGGGAGAGGGTGAAGAGGTGAGGTCGACCAGGATGTTTGGATACCTGACGCAGGTTTTCATTTCAGGCTTTGTACTCGAGTTCAATTTTGAACCTATAAATCATGCAAATAAGGTTTTATTTAAAGGTTGGCCCTCAAGAACAACCAGCGGATGGGGTCGTTTGACTCTGAGGCTGCGGGTTGCCTTCAGGGTGTCTCTCAGGAAAAGGGAACATTGCCACCTAGTGAACCTCCCCCATTTGAGGCCTCAGGTGACCTTATCTTTCGACCAAACACCAATTTGTTAGGGATGCACGGAGATTTCTCATACAGATTCATCTTATGACCCCCGCTTTAAAATAGTCATAGCTCCAACACGTGCATTCTATGTGCCATGTCTAAAATGCCCTATCCATTCATATGTTGAGTTGCAATCATGCAGAGTGCTGCAGCGCTCCAAACGGGCTGATTAAGCATGAGTGACAAATATGTGAGGGGCACACGTGTAATGTGATGCAAGGGTCGGAGTGTCCTACCCATCCCCCTGTCAGTCTCTATCATCTCGCCCATAAACCATGCCTTAACATGTCACGTAAACAAAGACACAGCATTTACTTGGCCAATTAACTGTGTCCTAACACATTAGGCCGTGTCCTGGTCCACATGCTTAGGATGGAGTCATAGGCGCTGTCAGCCACTTTGCATTCACGTTGTGTGAATCAGAGGTTGTGGGTGGTCATGAGATTGTCTCATATCTTTTGTCACACCGAGGACGATCTTCAAGAGCTGTGAGCTGCGCAGCACAGCGCTGACAGGTCTGATGGACTTGATTTTCAGCGGGAAGACTTATTTGCTCAGCTGACTGTAATGCAAACAGACGTGTTGGTGCTGGGCTGAAACCTGTGTGAGACAGAGAAACCTATTCTTTCAGTATTCCTTGTGATAGCACGAGGCCATAAAGCATCTTTGTACCACCAAGCCACAGGTGTTACTGGAAGGAAAAAAAAACAACTCCCACATATCGGCCCATTTTCTGAAATCTTATCAGCTGATCCTGATGCCCAGCTTTCAATTTTTACTCACTTCGGAGGTCCGACCCTGAGTCAACACATTAAGGGGGACACTACCCACAGCTAGATGGATAGCCGTGAGATAACGCCTGTGCGCTCCACCTCCTCTTCCTCCTCTCTCTGTTCTCCCGTCCACATCGCCTGTAGAGCAAGGCAAAGTTCACCAGAGCTGCTGTTTGCCTTCACTGTGGAAAACACAGGCTCATAAAACCATCCATCCAAACGGTCAACTTTGGTTTATAAGTGATAAAAGCGTGGCTGTGAAGCAATTCTAATGTCACTACGATCGGCTGCGTGTTTGTGTGTGCGCGTGCTGAGGCTAATGGACTCTAAGTAACATTGAGCACAAATGACATTGTATTTCCCAGATGTAGGGCGACACATCAATGTAGAGCTGCATCTAGTTGATTGACAGAAAAATGATTGATGGCAATTCTGGTAATCAATTAATTTTGAGCAAATTCCAAATATTGTTAGCTTCTCAATCACGTGTTTCTTTTTGTCCTGAGATGGTTAACTGAATGTCCACATGATTTGATCTGTTCAGGAAAACAAGCATTTTCGAGATGTCACCTCAGGTTTAAGGAAATTGTGACAACCTGTTTATCAACTAATTCATTAATCCACCAATTGCAACCATACATGTATGTATCCGTAATCACATACTGTCATAACAAATAGTTTTTTCCAGAGGTTTGACCCACATCTATGATCTTCCATAGGTGTTGTAATGGAGATGGTTATCCATTAATTGTGAAGATGGTATTACTTCTGTTATATAAAACATTTAAATAAATTGATAAATTGCACAGGGCTGCTGGAACGTATACTCTATATAAACATAAAGCCTATTCATTCACTACTAAACGCGTTTTGGATATAAACATTCATTAATTGTTGCCTAGCAACCACGGCTGTAAATGTGAGACGGCAGATGAGTTCCAGGAGGACAGACAATGGGAAGAAGTCTTTAAAGTCAGTTAATTTGAGAATTTTAGAGGAGACCGGGTCACTTGTTAATTATATTTCAATTTCTTTATTTCCATCCTGAATGTCTAATTATTCTTTCAAAGCCTCCTTTATTCAGCCAAGGAGAACATTATGGTGGGAATTAAGGAACCTGTCTCCTGGCTAAAATGGGGCGGTATTCGTATGTTAGGTTATTAGAAATAATTACAATGATTATAAATGTCTTTGAAAAGAATAAAGATTAGTACTTCAAGACATGTCATTTGTAACCTTTAATAGTTCATTAGTTTTAGTAATACGCCCACGCTGTGTATAAAACAGACTGTAGTTCTTATGATCGTGTAGACGGCAGAAAAGGTGTCAGATTTGTCTGTTTCCACGTTTCCCAGCACCATCTTTCCCGTTTCTTTTTACTGGTTTCCATTAATTCTCCGCGTTAGTGGTAGATGTGACTGTATTGATCTGGCTGTTTAACAACTGCATCCTGTCAGCATGCCTCAGCCATTACAATACACACAAACCATTAGTCGCCGCTGAAAACACGACTCCATTGTGTGTCTGAATGAAACATGCCTCCTTTGTGTGACTCAAATGCTTTTTCTAATAAGTTGCAGGAGTTGAATGACAGCTTTGTCCGATACTGTCACACCGACACGGAGTCTTTTCTGAGTGATATCAACCGCTCCCTGTCGTCGAGCAGACGAGTGTTCCAGCAGCTGGAGAGAAAGCAAGTCTCTGAACCTCAGGAGAATGATTGGGAGCGAATACAAAGCCAGGTCAGGAGCAAGTCACACTCTGCTGAACCAGAAGCCGCTTCTATCATTAAACAAGCTCCCCCTCCCGCCCCCCATAAAAAATATCTTCTCCTCCCAGCCTCGCCTTCCTCCTTGACATGTTAACGCTTGTATGGGGACAACGGCATCACAGCTGCAGTATAGAAAGTTCACCTCTCCAGCGGTGATCATTGACTTCATCAAATGAATGGCCGTGGGTGGACTATTAATCCTCTGTGTTTACAAAAAACATGACCCGGTCTGATAATGCACCGCAGGCTTTTCATCGCCTCGGCTGCTGCGGAGGGTTTGAAAAGACATTACGGTTTGCGTTTCCTTGAGGCTCCATTGTGGGCTTTCCTTGCAGCCAGTGCCATTTTCCATAGAGGGAGCAGGGTGTGTGTGTGTGCAAAGAAGAGGTTGGTTTTTTTTCTTTCCTTTATCTGGTGTGAAAAGGTTGCGCACAAGGCAGGAGTGGCTCGGCCTTGACATTGAATATGAAACACTGAATGTGCTTTCAACACATTACCTTGCACCTTTTTTCACCGGTGAAAAAACCCTATAAAGTGGAGAGCAGCTCGTTATGAGACATTTAACGGTCCTGCATGTTGGCTCCTAAAAACAGGAAGCTCATCTGGTTAATGATTGGCGTTGGTGTTTTAAAAAAACATAAGGATCACTTATATGAACATGTTATCACCTGGATAGTGACTTACAGATTTAGTTAAGAGTTCCTTATAATAACGTGGCGGTGGCGAGGTTTGCCTCTGTAACAGGCGGTGTTGTGTGTATATTTCCAATAGGTGGTCCAGAGAGGTGTATGGGACTGCCCCATCTGCCTGACGGCACTGCGTAGCCCGAGCCTCCCAACAGAAGCCGGTACGTCCAGCCATCACCGACACGCCGCCCTCCTGTCCTGTTCCCACGTCTTCCATCAGCTCTGTCTGGAGGCCTTTGAGGCCTTTTCAACCGAGAGCAGACCTTCCTGCCCCCTGTGCAGATCGTTCTACCACAAAAAAATCACCCACCTGGACACGAATTGAATTTAAGATGGCATTTTAGATCACATCTAGCAATATTTATAACCTGTAATAAAAGTATTCCTGAAATACTAACCCAGCCTGTCCGTATTGACCCAGGGCGTCACAATGACAAATGAAAGCAGTTTTCTACATTTTTTTTATTTGCAAAGACATCAAAAATAACTAAACTTACATTTAGCAAACTGAGAAATTGTAAAGAAACACATTCACAAAACGTACTAAAAATGACATGCAGCGACCAACTGACATGACAGTACAGACTTCAGACAGCTGCTTCACGTACAGAACAGCTCACCTTTTGGAATCCCACACACACCAGAGATGTACTCTAGAGGCAACTAAAAGGTTAGCTTGAATAGAAAATGTCTCTCAAGTCCTTATGCAATGTTTTATTAGGGGAGGTACACTTCAATGTGAAGTCTGCAGCGGAATGGATGTCTGCACCACCATGATGGAATTGGAAAAAATCCAACACAAGCCATATAGTTAATGTAGTTCATCCAAATCAAGTCGTACATTTCGTTTCATACTTTCACTAATTTACTTGACATTTAAAGTGATATCTTGCTAATTTATAATATCTCTTTTTGCTTTGCCAAATCCCTGCGGACCACGTTAATTATTCACAGTACCCAATGAAATTGCACACTCCGTACAAGTTTTAGCCAGTTAAAATTGTGGGTAAAACTGCAGGCAGAAGGTAGACAGCTTTGAGAAAAACAATCCCTGTCTGAAGTAACAAGTTCCAAATGCAAATAGAAGAATTTCTCAATTTCCTTGTCCTTTGTCTCACTTAATTAAGTCATGAAAACACATGACATACAATGCCAGAGATAACGTCGTTACATCACTCAACCCAATTCTAGCGTTCAACTTTTTCAGAGGAACGAATGAAGGAAGCTTCTCACTTCATAAGAGCCACTGTGAAAACATTCATGGCACAAAGCAATGTGTACATTATAGCGAGCTGGCTTGACTAGAAACTCGGTGGCGTACGGGGATCACAGTGGAACTGTGCAGAGACAAACCATGCACTTGTACACATACGTACGAGTGCATTTACAAACGACACGGAACAAGAAACAACCTTAACATTAAGCCCGCGAGATGCTTGTCGTTTAAGGCATTTAAGGTGGTTCTGGAGACAAAAGGACGTCACAGTTTAGAAGATTATGCAGCAATACAACTACATGTAAATCGGGCCTGAGTCACCAAGTCTTTCTACCAGCTGCAAAGTTGCACATTTTCACACCCTGCATTCTGCATGTAAAGATTGTTACACGTTTGCATTGGATTGAGGTGTCCATAAAAAAAATATGTACAACAAAGTACAGCTTGCTTAGTGAGTCAGACCCTTATTGGACTCAACAAGAGCCAAATATTTACATCTGAATAATGCAAAAGAGTTTTGAAACACAGTGATATTTACATGTAACATTTACAAAAATGACCTATTGAACTATTTGACTATTTCTTTATGTGCCATGTGAATTTAAATATATATTTATGGGGGAGGGTGAGCAAAAATGTGATGGTGTTTTTGATTTAACATGTACAAAATAAAATTCAAGGAATTACAACCACAGGCTCAGCTACAAATGCCCTGAAGCATTCTGCTCTTTGGAACTGAAGAGGATGGAACTCCAATATAGTTTCCCATTTGTAGAGTAGCTCAAGTCTAACCTAGAGCTCCTAAAGAAAAAGTTCTTACCCTACGTCATACAAACTAACGACATCATCAATAAAGTTAAAGCGCACTTCTGTCAAGCCAAATAAGAAGACGAATGCAGCCCATCAGTTGGGATAGTGCAAATGCATATGATGTGAATCGTATGGATGAGTTTTATATATTGGATGGGAGGAGAATAACTGACTTCTTTCATGCTTCACAAAGCACATTTTGTCCTTTTCACATCTTAAGCTCTTAAAAAAAAAAAGAAGAAAAAAAAAGACTGACACCTTTTTATCATGCCTGCATTATTTCGCATAACAACCAGAGACCACAGACAATCAACTGCTCACATATCACACACACACCGATTACCATCTACACACTGACATAAAAAGGTACCCATGTGGATGGTGGGTTCATTTACTATACCGAGAACAGAGGAGGCGCACGGTGATAGAAAAGAAAAAAAAAGACGTTGCTCCTTGCTTTTGTCTACTGCAGCGGGAAGGAGTTTGTGGAACAAAAAAAAAAAAACAGTAAACAGGAAGCAATGCTGGAGAGGGGGGGGTGGGGACGCCCTGAAGCAAGAGATGGGTGGTTTAAAGTCACAGTCGCGGTTGAGGTCAACGTCAAGGTCACTGCAGTGATGCCAGTCTATTTCCCTCCTCGGTCTCATCCCTGGCTCGGCCCCAGCTTCCGTGCGAGACGCAGAGGATGGAATGTCACGAAGCTAAATTGCTCCCAGCCTCCCTCTGCAGCATCCGTCAGACACTGCCCGGGTTTATTAAGTTCCTTCCAATCCCTTTTACCTTTCAGTAGTCAGCCAGTACTGTCGAAATCTCCCTTTGGCTGTGCTAAGGTGTGTGTGTGTGTGCGTGTGTGTGTGTGCGTGCGCTGATCTATCGTCCCTTTTCACAGAGTTTTCTGATGCCCGTTGGCTGAGAGCTTTCCAGATTCAGGGTCCGTGGGGCTGTTTGACAGTTGCAATTTATCCAGACCTGGGCAGGGGGAGATAAGGGAGAGAAATCTCATTAAAAAGCCTCAGACTTTCTCTTAGACAGAGGTATTGATGCCCCCCCCCACCACTCTGCTTGACATTTTCTAGCCCTATCCCACCCTGTGTATCAAACATCCAGGGCCTGTAGCCACAAGCCTTTGAGACTATCCCCGTCCTCTGTCATGTGTCAGTGCCGCAGCACATTGGATCTAGCTGCAAGTTCCTCCATTTTGTTAAAATTAAAAAAAAGGCACTTTCTCCCCCCCGAGGCCGAAGAGAAGGTTGGTCCCGAGTGTTTCAGACGGGACCTTCATTGGTATAAAATTGGTCACAAAATGGATTGCTTGATATTCTGCAGAACATCCAGGACGTCAAAAGGCAGGATTACAATGACAGCTAAAATGTTGCAGTTTGGCTTTATTTGGTTGTAGTACATTAAAAAGGTGCTGGTTAGAATCCCTCGAGAAAAATACATAGATTTACCCAAGGCCTTCAGAAGCTCTTCCCGTACTGCTGAGGTGAATTTTCTCACAAGACAGAGTGTCGTCACGACCGCAAATAGCAGGTTGTACGAAAGGACGATGTAAAAGTTTCCCAGCCAATTAAATCTCCCGAAGTCTCCCAGGAGATCAAACCTGGTAATACCTGTGTAGGACAGAAAAACAGGTAAGAGACAACACTCATTTGGTTCCTTTGAGATACATTTCTCCCAATTGTCTTTAAGTAAAGTTCCCCTCTGATAGACAAATCGTTCTTCCAAGCAGAAGCACGGGACGGCAGAATGTGGGACAGTTCAACCCAACAATAGCGATCACAGCAGGTGGCACTCGGGTGCACGTCATCTCCCAGAATGAAGGAGTGGTTTCTGTGCCATCCGATGTTAAAATAAAACCAGCTTTCAATCCCCTGATGTGTACATACGTGTCGTATTCATGCACCACAACTTTTTTTTCCTAAAGAAATTGGATGAGACGTAGCACACCGTAGACCCGCGAGCCTTTATACGCTCTACTCCCCCTGTAACATCTTCACAACCTCTGTCGTCAATTAGATCGGGCAATCGATTTTGTCCTGGGAGAGAGGTATTTACAGCCGCAGTAAGCAGTTTGAAAGCATCAAGGACCTTTAACAAAATTGCCTGTGAGGAGACGACGGAGACCTCAGTCGAAGCTGCTCGCCACTGCGGTCTGACCGCATCCCCCTCTAATGCCCAAAGGTCTCGATCTCGGTCTGGTCATTTGAGAAAATTGAATTGGGGTCGAAAAGACGCTTGGCATTTGAGATGTCAGGGGTACAGTAGTTAAAGCCACTATTATGCAGCTACATATGATATTAATCGGGGTTGTATGGGACTATTTTCACTGGAAGTGAGCGGCACTTGATAAGTGATGCCGCTGGTGGTGATACAGCATGCGTTTGGAGAAAGAAATAGACTGTTAATGTTCCCCTTTCTCTCATACAGTGTGCAACCCCCCCCCCTCTTTTCTTTAACATTTCACTTTTTTTTTCTTAAGCTGGGAGGCCTTTTCTCTTGAACTCTGTCTCATGTATTTATTCCTTTTAATCTATTCAGCGCCACAAAGCGGAACCTGAGTCACTGTATGCTCGCGCCGTCCCGTTTTCCCAATGTGTTGGTCCCTATCACACACACACACACACACACACACACACACACACACACACACACACACACACACACACACACACACACACAGTAATGCTATTTGAACAGCTGTGCTCTGCCTTCTGCATGTTTATTAGTGCCATTGTGATGGTGCTACCCCTGTCATTTTTACCCCTTCACCCTGCGCTCTTTTCGTCACTATGGGAAACTATCGGCGATTTCAAGTTGCAAACTTAATGGTCTACGGTTTGTGGCGGGTGCCTGTTTTTTCAATGATGATGTGAATACACCATGCGGCTGGTTGGCCTCAGCTTAATATAAAGACTTAAAGGAGAATAATAAAGACACACAAGACGCGTGCGCTGGACTCACCTAGAGTTCTGGACATCACTGGCAGGGCTGAACTCAGGACCAAAATGGAGACACAGCAACCAATGATCTATAAAATGTATAAATAGAACTTAAAAAATTGTTCAAGCATATAATCTGCAGTTATGAGGCGTGCGACGAGAAAAGCTCCTATTGCGCCGACAGTTTCGGCTGTGACGTGCCCACACGCGCACACGCAACGCGAGGCGTTAAATTAGTTGCACATATTGTGCAATTAGAACCTCTGAAGTTGCTCATTACCAGGTTTCCCCTGTTGTCCTTTCAAGCCCTTTCACTGGAGCGTCATGGCTAGTTAACAAGCCTCACCACTCCCAAACTCATTACCAAGTGAATAGGTGCCAAACAGAGGATGCCCCCCCGCCCACCCACCACATCCCTAAAAAAAAAACCCAACTCTCCCTCTGATGTACAAGAAAGGGGGCTTGCACTTTGCCAGTGTTTGCGCAACCCACAAACAAATATTGGACAGATCAACTAAAGCCATTCAGGGGGCCCGAGGAAAACGTTAGTGAGCAGTAGGAGTTCAGAGTGAGAGGAAGGCGGGAAAGAGTAGTGGGAGGTGAGGGGAGGGAGGGGGGGGGGAAATGGACAAAACACAGGGGGTCCCAAACACCGCACTGTAGGAGCAATCTCAGCCCCCTCTTCACCCCCGTCCTTACCGTCGTCATGGTGGTGTCGTCGTTCCTGGGAGTGAGTCCCTCGAAGACTCGCAGGCTGTAGAAGCCAACGACGGACGACACCATCAAGTAGCTGTTGAGCGAATCAATCAAGGACCCCAAAAAAAACAACAACAACAACAACACACTTCTCTGCCGGGTCGCGGGGGCAGGCTTCATGGAGTCGCCTCTAAAAAGTAGCCCCAGTCGGCACCTTTTCAGCCGCGATAAAAGGTGACGAAACGGCGCAACGTGTCTCCCGGAAGGTGTGCGGCTGAACTATTTCCTGGGTAAACAAAGGCGGGCTGGACAATGTTGCTCTTGGCCGTGGAGCATGCTACTTTGACCACAAACAATGGGGCGGGGGGGGGGGGTCACTTAAAGGATACAACATGAGGACGATCTCCAGCACCGCCTGAGCCAGGCCGAATGTGGACAGAGAAGTGTTCCCAATGCCCCGGTCCTAGAAGATGAAGACAGGGGACGGGAGACACGGTTACACCTTAAACACATTACGAGTTACAAGAAAAAGACGATGGGAAAACAACGGCACTGCGGACGGTTATAAAGCACATGCAGATACAGAAACCCTCCAAAGTCAGTATGCGGCGTGTGAAGACGTTTCCCCGCGTGAGCAGGACCGAATCAAAGGGATGAATGGAACGAGATGGAACGATCGCACGGCGCCGGGAACAGGTGTTCAAACAAAAACGCCACGTCGCTCGCGGTAAGAGGAGGCTGAAAGCGCGGCAGAAACATAAAAACAACAAGACAAATACTTACGGCAAACACCAGCCCCCCCACTTCCTCCCTCCCTTCAACACCTAGAGGCCTTTTGAAACCGGAGCAGGAAAAAGGAACATCTACATATGCTGCACATACCAAGTGTCCGTGTCGCCGAATGATAAATATTTGCTTTTGGCAGACTTGGCACCGGAGTGAATCCTGCGAGGGATCAGCGCGCTCACTTTCACGCAACAAAAAGTTCCTAAAACTGGATGCCGACTTTTCAGAGGTTGTAGATAATCATTTAGTTATGAGAGATAAATGATTACAACAGCAGTATATTCACAAACACGTAATGTGCTAAAATACACTACGCCGTCCCGTCTCGTGCATTCACTAATGTTTAGTGTGGTCCTAGATTTACTTTTGTGTTTTGTGCATTTCATTTATTTCTTTACCCAACTAGATTGTCCTTATCTTGATTTGTGTGATTTGAGCCTCTCTCTCTCTCTCTCTCAGCAGGCAGCATCAGATATAATTTATTAATGGAGAGGGAGGGGGGTGGAGCGGCGCGGGGGGCATGCATTAAGATTGTGTGTGCACTCACAATATGCGTGTGTAGCCTGCGCTCAGGACAGCTAGCTTTCACCGTACGCCGCCTCCCAACTCTGCTGTCCTCATTAAAGTCGCACACGCTGGTCAATCGGATGAAACGTACGAGGTGGGATGATGTCGAGGTATCAACTAAATAAAAGGTGATTGCAGCGCTCAGCTCGTCTCCGTCCGCTTTCCTTCACGAAAGCTCCTGTGCACGTTTGTGCGCGCTCAGAGAAGGGCGACTTTAGTGGGGTGAGAGTTTGGAGTCCAGTTACAGCTAATTGCCTATTTTATAAAATACAGTGTCAAGTGTTGTGGCTACCACGGGGTCTGCAATAACACATTTATGGGTCCCTCTTAGTGCTTGTTCATCAAGCTGTAAAACACACCGTCCTCTGACAGCGCCAACACCAGTTCCTCACCCCTCCCCACCCCCCCCGCGCCCCCTGTTGCTTCTACAGCACCTCTGCTCCCCGTCTCCTTCCCCCTGTTTGTCCCGCTGGCGGATTCGCCTTCCCTCCGCCTCCATCCTCCGCTCCGTAAAGCCAATTGGGGCACTGCTCAGTATGCTGGGGACTGTGGCGGGATGCTCAGTAGGAAGGGAAGGCAAACATTGACAGGGCACATCCATTGTGCTCTGCCGCCCGCCCCACCCCGCAACAATCGCCGCACCGGGGGCCTCATTTGACTTTCCCACAGTCTCTTTGCTCAGACGGCTCCTCATTCAGACCTCAAACCTCACTTCTCTGCGTCGCTGCCTCTCCCCTGCTCGCCTCCTCCGAGACGCCGCGCGGTCAGCCACCAGGGAGCTTCTGCGCGGATATCATATCAGTATCGATTGTTTTGCAGGACGAGACACCCCCCTTCCGCACGCGCACACACACACACACACACACACACACACACACACACACACACACACACACACACACACACACACACACACACACACACACACACACACACCCCCTCGTAGCGCTGTGAGATCATCAGAGGTGTGGCATCCGTCCAGCTCAACAAGCGAGAAAAGCATTTAGTCGGGGCCACACTGTCAGGGAGGACAGCTTCAAGCTGCATGACAAGTGTAATTTGGGGGGGGGGGGATTTTCTGTGATGCGTCATGCCAGAAGAAAAACATCTCTGTTGAATAAAATAATTAGAACGTCGAGGGCACCTCTGTCAGTTGCCCGCGAGACGGAAAATTAAATGAGGGAGAAATAGGATACATTATGTTGCTCCCTCTCAGACAAGAATGCAACCACAGACGCACACACACACACACACACACAAGCACATGCACCCACGCCTCTTTGTCACTGCAGATGAGACGAGATAAGGGGAGCTTAAAACGCATCGCATGTTAGGCGGAGATGGAGATCTCTTAGAGGCGTTCCACGCGCGGTTAGGCCGCCTCACAGCGGGAGCCCGTCACCTGGCCTCCGTCTGCCTTACCCGCTGTGGACTTGAGACACGCAGCGAGCTCATTGAATCTGCACGCCGCTGTGAAATGACTTTCAATGAGCTTCCAAAACAAAAACCAGAGGCACAAGGTTCATGTGTGATTAACATCTGGCCGGGCCTTTTCTTTCCAACGAGCACGTGAGCATATCCGGAATTTGATTTATGTCGCCGCCAGGAGCACGGCGGGTCTGATAGGCAGGCTGCTCTGCAGTTTACATTCTGGGCGTGTGTGTTTGTGCAGGGGGGGGGGGGTAAAAACGTACTTAGGTTAGGTTACAGTAGGCTTACCGTGGACCCCTTGGGCATGGGGGTCTCATCCACTAGAAGGTAGAGGATATTAAATACCACCATAAGGACTGAGATTGTCTGCGGACACAGAGGAAGATAAAGATTTGTTTACACGCCGCGTAATTAGAAAACCATCGCGTAAATCCTCAGAGTATCCTCACGATATAATCGAATTGGGGTTGTCCTTGCTGAGCCGTACGTGAGCCGATGCATTATAACCATCAACGTTAAGCTACTCAAAACCTCAACAGCGTGGGGAGGTTTCATGCAAGAATATAATGTATTAAAACGGTGGCTGTTCAGCATTGACAGCTATTGAACAAAAGTAGTTTCCCCGGCCGGACTCAGAGCTGTTAAGAGGATTTGGGGTACAGGGGTGTTAGTCCCAATGGCCAGCGGCCCGGCTGCATACGCCAAGAGTAAACAGTTTGGGCTTAATGACGAGTCGGTCACTGCACTCACGGTTCCTGCGAGCAGGATCAGCATCACTATCGGATACAACAAGTTCTTCTCCCAACCGGACGCCTTCTTTCTTCTCTCTGAGTGGAAATAAGAGCCAAAATGTGAGGTCATTGGTCCTATAGAAATATATATGTATAAGCAACTCTTTAATTGCCAGATTCATTCATTGAATTAATATGTTCATCAATAGGTTTACAGGGTTTGCACATCTGGATGTGTTGGTAAAACATAAATCCTGAATAAAAATAAATTAATTCAAAATTACTTTCATTTAAAGTTTCTGTCTTCCAGCTTCCTTTTATTCCAGCGACTCATCAGTCATCTTTTTAGACACTGCTGACAGCTTGTAGACCACGTGCCCTATATCTTCTATTATGGACATCCACGGTACCCAAGGATGTGCATCTTACTGCTCCCCAATCCTTGCTATATTGACTTTCTTTCTCTATTTCCAACCTTGTTAGTCCTCCTTATTCTCAAAGTGCACCCACCCTGCCTGCCCGAGAAGTTTGCCAAGTGCACTTTATATGCACCATCCTTCTAAATTAATGACATCACTAAAAGGCTTGCTACAATATAAAGTTTCCATCTTGTCCAATATCCTAAGTGCCTTTGTGCCCCCCCCCCCCATCCTCCTCCCCCCCCCCACACTGCTCCCCAAAAGACTCAGCTTCATTTATAATATCCTAAAATGGATGGAAAATTATCAAGCGGTTCTGGTCCATGTCCAAATTAAGAAATTAAGGCGGACGGGGAGAAAGCAGCCGCCTGTCAGCAATATGTAAAAAGCTTACTTCTTGGCAGACGTTTCCATGGCAATTCAAGGTCTTCAGAGGAAATATTACAGTCCAGCATTAAACAAATACTTACCCAATTTATGCTTCAGATTTCTAATATTGTCCAGGTCTTTGTTGAGCTGCACAGTAAAGTTTCCTCGAGAAAAGGTATAAGAGGTCGATCCTGCAGAAAGAGAAACCATTGGAATCACCTTCATTTGATCAGATATCGTTGCGATTATTTTCAATATGCAAAAAATTTAGTCAATAAACGGATTACACATTAAGTGGAATCAAAGTCAAGTTATGGAGAAAAGTTCTGAGAGTCTTGTTTTGTCTGTCCGACCGTCCTAAACTTTATTTGCTATTTTTGTTAGTTATTTTCTTTAAAATGATATAAAACACAGAAAATTAAAAAATGCTAACATCCGAGAAGCAACTAAAAGCAAAAACTATAATCTTTGTTTCAACAGATATCTTCACAGTGTCTGCAAAATATGTGCACTGTACAGGAAGACTTAAGGAACAATGCATTCAGTTGGAAAACAGTATCAAATATCACGCTCAATGTTAACTTCACCCTTCAACTTTTTCTCGCTGCATCATACGGTGTTTGACCTCTCTATTAAAACAATTAACCCTGCTGTGAACACCACCATGTAAATCAAAAACCATTCCTTATGTCAGGAGCTGTCTCCTTCATGCCACAACTGGTTCCGTGGGCTGGAGAAGACAGCGGGGGGATTCTCCGGGAAAACCGCAAGGCCGCCTCGTTCAAGGCTAATTCATCTACTTCCCTCCCCGACTTGACGCGGTGGCGCAGAGGGCCCCCGGGAGCCGAAGGGAAGAGTATCCGTTTGCATCCCCCCCCAGGTGATTGGCGGATCAACACCAATTAGCTCAGCGTTACAGCGTTACTAGCGCGCAATAAAAACACCGTCTTTCATCTTTGTTACAAGAGGGAAGGACCAATGGCTTTGATCAAGCCCCCGCCCCCCCCCCCCCCCCCCCCGTGGATATGACACGCCCTGTCTGGATGGCTTTAAGTAGGCAGAGGACCTGCGATAGACTGAGAGACTTAGCAGTGTTGTCTGTCCCGGGATCTAAGCAGGGGAAAGTTTGAACCCTCCGAGCAAATATACGAACAACACAACAGGAAATGTCACGGGCAGTTCAACAGCTTTTTCTTCTCCAGAGATGAAGTGAAAACTCCGCCTCGGGGGGGGGGGGGGGGGGGGGTACTGAACTAATCTATCATATTTGTGCATAACGCAGCCAAACGTGGCCCTGCCCGTCACCCGGGACGGATAAATCATTGATCGAATGAACCGTAGGCAGATCCAAGTGAAGACAAAGAACAATATCATCACTTGAATTTCAACCGCAGTATCTTCAGTGACATCATTCTAAACCGGAGTTAAATATATCCCTCTCCTTCTGCTGGCAGCATCAATTAAGAGACTGAGTTACAGCGAGGCAGAGATGCTGAGTGAGGCTTCTGGCAGCCAGGAAGGCCCGGAGTAATTCAACGTATCCTTTCCAACCTTCAGCACAGACGAGAAAAAAAAAGGACGTCATCCACGCTTATGCTAAACACCATGCTGAGACAACAGAGGCACCGGCAAGGTCATCGTGCCGCATAGCATCTGGACAGGCGCTCTTTTGGTCTGCTATCAGCAGATCCGGGTCTTGAGAGGGCAGCGTGGTGTGTGTGTCTGTGTGTGTGTGTGTGTCACAGTGTGTCCTATTTGTCTGTTCTGGTTACTAGACAATAGTCTCTCACCAAAAACCCGACGGAATCCCCCAAAATACCCTATTTTTTCTGGGATTTCTACACGGTGTGTAAACTTAAGCCTGAACACATTGGACAACAGTAAAAAAAAAAAGGGTCGCTGCGGTTAATTGCAAACCCTGGTTTCTCGTAAGCAAAGTGTTAGCAGCCTACCGGAGAGTTCTCGGTGCGTGCGTCTGAACATCACGCATATTAGGTCCATCTTTACCATGACAAGAAGAACAGATGCACATGCCCAATCAGCCAAGTTAAGCCGTGAGCCTCTGAACTCTTACAGTTACAACATAAACAATGCCATTACAAATGGGCCGTTACGTGCAGAGCGAGGACAACAAAAGGCCCAGACGCGTAAATAAACGTTGATGCGCCGACTGATGTGGCTCAACAGTCCACATCTGCAAACACAAACCGGGCCAAAGGACCCGTTGGAGGGGCTGCATTGCGGAGCGGACGCAGGTGAAGCAAGACAACAACACTGCTCGCCTCTGGAGTGTGTCCCGTGAACTGTTGGTGAACTGTGGTCGCTCGCAGCAGATCAAAGGGACACCAGTCTGGCCTTCGGGGTTTTTTCACCCGTGTGCGTGTGTGTGCGCGTGTGTGAGCGCGGACCATGTGCATCTCTTGCGCAGCATGAAAACACTCTTCTTGGCCACGCCGGTTCCACCTTTTCTAAACGGGTAAAAGCGCATTTGCAGCTCGGCGGCGGCACACACACACACACACACACACAAAAAAAGAAAAGATGTTGGCCACATTTTTTTGTTTGTTTTGTTTGCCCTCACAAGGACTCGTTGAGTTCAAACTGTGTTGGAGGTGATAAGGAACAGATTACAATTATTCAGTTAGTTCAAAGCGGGGCGGCGTGGAATATGCTCGAGGGAACCATACGCATTGGTGGCTGTCTATGGGGTCGGCCCGGCGTGGCATTCGAAAACACGCGTTATCAGGGAGGGATCTCCCTTACCTCCATGGTTTGAAAGGACGCTCGTCCTCTTCATTTACTCGCATCCGTACACTTGGTTGCACGCTTGAGTTAATATTAAAGTAGCTTTTGGAACGCGGCCCAAATACTTCCTGCTTTTGGAGATCATTCAAACGTCAAAACGAGGAATTTGGGAACACAGAGGGTCGGACGTGAAAAGGAAATGCAGGCTAAAAAAATAATCTGCACCATCCAACTCTTTAAACTATCCCTTTGTTCCGGAGAGCCGCACACGGCTCCCTGTCTCCTTTCAGGAGCCACCGAAAAGCCTCTTTTATGTCCAAAGAAGGTCCTTGTAAAAGACTTATTACTCGGGCCACCGTTCTAGTCCTAAAAGAGGCAATCACTTCCCCAGTGTCTTAAATGGATCCTTAAAAACTTCCTTAACATATACAATATGGTCCTTTCCATGTGGCTGCTTTGCCCTTCAGCAGAGGTTATGTTGGTGAGACAGCGGTGGGGAAAGGCCGCTGGAGCCTTTCCTCATGTATTGCTTTCTTTTTCCCCCCCCAGTGTCTGTTCATGTCCGTCTGTGTGTGGCTGAATTTTCAATGCTAATTGATTCCAGTGTGGCCGCGCTCCATCACACCCAATAGGGCAGTCAGGCCCTCCCCTCCCCTCCAATGTGCCAACACGTCCCCCACAGACATACCGTTTAACCTCCTCTGAAGGGCTTCCTCCTGCAAATGGATGCAGTAAATCTGCTCATCCAGGTCCTCCAGGATCTGAAGGCAGGGAGCAGAGGAGGAAGAAATGAAATGGGTTATAATTAGGCCCAGAGTGGGACTGGAGAGATGGCAGATGGGAGGATGAGTTGGTGATGTATTTGTAGTCCTGCGCTCTGCGTGTTAGTGGTCGTCTCAAACAGACAGTAACCTCCAGTCTGAGCGTTCCGGTTCAACTCGGCATTGTTTCAGCCCAAAAAACCAGCTGCCAGCTGCTCATTTCTACAGACAAAAGCGTTTACAGCAACAAACAGATGCAGATTCCTTACTGTTGGCTTCACTAGCAACTGGCCCATGATGGTGAACATCCTCGACAATCCCACAGGAGTGCACACTACACGGGACAGAAAACAGCACGGTCAGAGTGCTTGTTTAACCAGGACGAGGTGAAGAAATCAAGCAGTATTAATTTGATGGATTAGCGATTAGATTGCATTATTTGCAGTGTGTGTAAATGAAGTGGCTTACTGAGTAAAAGCAGTCCTCCCATCAGAGATATACAGGAGTAGAGGTATGGAAGGTAGAATTCCCAAAGATCTACAGAAAGAATGGGTCAGGAAATGAAAATCATCATCTAAGGAAATCCACACTACGTAGTTTTACATTTATATTTGTGAAGGGATTAAACAAACGAGATATTATGTTTTAATTTGTGTGCTTCATTAGGTAAAAAATTGAACTTTTGAGAAAGCCACTCTAATGAATTCCAGTATTCATGCTAAGCTAAGCGAAGCTAACCAACTGGCGGCTCAAGCTTAATATTTGACTGCATATGAGCATGAGAGCCTGTTATCAACCCCATCAGACAGTGGGAGAAATAATGCAAATGTCCAAACTGGTACTGGTACCGTAGAGTGACTCCATACTGGCCGCATCGTTGTCAATGAGCGCTGACGCCACCCACACGATGCCCAGGATGAGCAACGCCAGCAGGAAGAGCATCACAAAGGTCTCTAGGATACGCGCCTTAATGCCCTGACAGAAAGAAAAAAAACACAACTTTATTTCAATACACAATACAAAACACATCAAGCCTGGGAGGTGGGATCACCTACATTTCAAGTGATAATTAAAAAACACAAAAACAGGATTCCTTTTACGAGACATTTCCATCCTCCCGCGCTCATATTAAACGCCATCATTTCCATTCAGGCCACAGAAACATGACAGAAACGCTCCCACGGGTTCCTGCGTAAAACAGTCCTGTTATACACACACGTTGTGCTCTTTAAAGTGGGTCTAACAGGGGCTGGTGGTGGCAGAGGTGAAATGAAAAAAAAAAGTTTGCGGTGGGGGGGGGGTGCCGTATGGAGCATGCAAGCCTGCCCCGGGTCGGCTACTGTCTGCGATCAAGAGCAGGCCCCCCATCTGGGGCCGATTAGGAGCTCCCTCAAGACGCCGCGGCCGTGTCCCGGGCCCGCGCAGACCAGAGGGTTTTGGGGTAATTTGGGTTTTCCGGGTCACAAACTGCTGAGTGGTTAATAAAGTCCTCCTCTACCTGTTCACACAATTTCCCGCCCCCCCCCACCTCTCCCCCGCCCTCCCTTGCAGGAGAGCCGAGCTGTCTGTGCCTGTAAGATGGATCGGCGTTCTACACATGTCGGGTAGGCTACCAGGCTCGGGAGAACAAGGGCTCTTGGCTTAAATTGGGCACATATGAGCAATTTGTTACCAGCTAACATAATGGCTCTGCGGTTGCTGTTCAGTATTTGCCAACAGGTACAAGGGGGGAGGGGGGCTCTCTTTGAAAGTATCCCCCTTGTTAATCAAGTCGCTTTAGAAAATGCAAATGGTTTCAATTCTGTAGATTAAATCAGACACGGCTCACTTTTTTTTTTTTTATGTTTTCACGGCACAGTTCAAGATGTCAACCGAACCACCTGTTCTAGCGTTCACATTCACAGTTTGAGAGCTTGAAATATGGTCTCTCCTAACTCACTCCTGAGCTCCCATCTCTTTTACAAGCGCCGATCTCACAAACGGCAGCACTAATGGATCAGAGGCAAATTTATTGTCCACACATTGTCACCGACCCCCCTTCAGTCCAGACTTTGGATACTGATGTGTGAGGATTTGAGCTTATTCCCAAATCCGCCGTCGCATCCCTCGGCCATCGCTGAGCAATCGCCTCCTCTTGCGCGGCCTTCTGGAAAAGCCTCGGTGAGTGAGTGTAGAATTTTCTAGCACCACAGGGAGGACCGTGGACAGGGTCTGGAGTGCCCCAGTGTGGCCGAGGCAGACACTGCAGCCACCGACAGGTCCTTCTTGAGTCTGCAGAAACATTTATTCATTTTCTGTCATGCTATCACGCCGTCAACGACCCCCCCCCCCCCCGCTCGATGCAGATCAATGCACCGAACGCGTTAAATATCCCAACGCACACAAACACGACAGTCCGTGGACACTCGGGGCACTGGTGCGTTTTTTCGCTGAGGGGACAACGGAGGGAGGCCGGCGGGGGGGGGAGAGGAGTCGACGCCGGGGCGCATCTCAATCCCCGGAGGTGAGCGCGGCGAGAGAGGAATGCTTTCAGCCCGCGTCCCACACGCGCGCCCTCTCTCTTAAGGATGCATGGGGACACGCGTCCGCTCAAGCGCACCAGTCCACCTTAACAGGCCGACCGATGCCCAAGGTGTATTCCCCTCAGATAGGCCTCTCAATCATTTATAGGCCTCCAATCATTAGCCATTCAGATCATTTAGGGCAGAGGCAATCACCTCCCTCACTATCATCCCTGGCTCCTGCCTCGCTGGAGGACCGGTCCGCTGTGTCGGACCGGATTTGACAGCTCGGGGGAAAAGCGGACGGCTGACCTGCGAGTCCAGATTGGTGTCATCGATACGCGCACACGCATGACATTGCACATTGAAAGTTTCTCACTTGTCCTTGCGAGCGAGAATAATGAAATCCTTTGTTCCTTTATCAGACGGGAAATAAAAAAGGCAAATTTGTGCTTTGAAAAAAAACGATGGTATGAAAATAGAAAAATGGAACTAAGCTATCATCAGCCATCAAAGATGAAAACTGTCAACCGGTGAGGGGACGAGAGAGAAAGGATAGAGAAACCTGTGCCTCGGCATCCAGAGCGCCCGCTGAAAGTTTCTATTCTTGCCGTTCTAAATGTGTAACTACGCCTAAATATAGCAGCTCTGAAATATTCAGCATCCCCTGATCCTCACACCGACATCGGGTGCGGGGCTGCTTAACGGCAGCTGTGCTCAAACAAGAAGGGAGAGACTTCCAAGAAACTCGCGTGGTGGCCAGAAGAGGGAAAAAAAGCGCTTCATGTGAGGCACCAAACTAAACATGCCTGAATTCACGTACGCACACAGACCGACGCACGTGACCAACGAGGCAAATAAACCTCCAAATCCACCCAGTTACACAAAGCCACAGAGGAGCCGTCGGCCTGCTTCCTGCAGAGAAACCAAAGCACAACCTGCCCGTGTCCACCTCTGCTCCTTAAATGTGCAACAGTCGACAAGTGAAAGAGAGTGAGAGACGACACTAAAGAGGGAAGATGCAGGGTTGAGTTGGACATTGGGGTGGGAGGGGAGGGGAGTGGGGTCGGAGTTAGGACGGGTTAGGTGGTGCAGGAGCTTCCGAGTTTGCCGCCATCAATCCTCAGCGGGTCAGCAGGCGGTGGCAGAGATCATCCCGCAGACCATCCTTCTGCTCACTGTCAGAGGCGTGTGGAACAAGGGGCCGGAGTGTAAGACGTGACGGAGGGGGCCCGGGCCGGGGCCGCCCCCCCCCCCTCGCTGCTAAAGACGTGCCAGATGCCCGGGGACCTTATTAGCGTGTCCTTCAGCCGGCCGGGCCGCAGCGCAGCGGCCGTGTCAGAGACAGAAAGCAGAGGAGAGGGACGCCGCCCTGTAAAGCTGCACGACCAACTTCTGAGGGCTCTTAATAAAGCACCAATGACACGAGCGCATGGGAAATGATCGGCGTCACGTCGTATTGTTCAAACCCAGGTGGGGGGGGGGCGCTGTTGTAAATGTTGATGATTTTCGGGATGTGAGTTAAAACTCCCGTTTCCCTGCTGCTCCCATCGCTGACTCACCGGATGAGTCGGAGAAGAGAAGAAGTTGTGTTCGACATCCCCCTAATCGACACGAAGCTCAGTCAACCTAAAGCCACGCCAATGATTTCTATATATGCAGTCTGCGTGTACGATAGACGAGATCTCGCTTTAAAGGTCAAGAAAAGATTCAGAAGCAGAATCAGTGGAGCTTCAGAACTGATCCCCGAGGTTAGAAAAACTGAGGCACGGGAGGAAAGGGGGGAGGAGGGGGAGAGGGGGGGGGGGGGTAGAAATCCTGAGCAACTCGCTTGTTCTTTCTGAAATTCCCAGCTCGAACTAATATGTTGCCATGGTAACCAACATTGTAACAGGCAGCTTTAGGGAGACATTGTGACCTTAAAGGAAGGTATGTAAACACCACTTTATATTCTCCGGCCCGGCCCGGCCCGAAGGAAGGCCTGGGAAAAATGTCTGCATGTGCAGGAGATTTGAAATAAATATCCAGGCCCCCATTGTGGAGCTCCAACAAAGAGGAGTATCTTAGTAACACCACGCGGGTTCGCTCGGCGAGACGTTCCCCCTCCCCACCCCCTCCTCCTCCTCCTCCTCCTCCTCCCCTCCCTCCACAATAAACACACTTCTCATCATTGGCGGGTTAGGGCTTAGGATGAGATTGATGAGGAGTTTCTTTAACTACCAGATGAAACCTGTTGGCCCTTTGCTGGGTCAGTCGGGGGGTCAGACTCGTTCCAACTCGTTTCAGGATCAAACACATTTCAATACTGTGGGTAAGACCGAAAGACTGCTCCCTGCGAAGCATACTTCGCTGTATGGTTCTTACTAGACTCATAAAACACACATATTTCCCTCACACTGAAGTTACAATAAGCGTTGGTAACTGAGGAAATGAATATATTTGTATTTTTAGCAAGAGATGATATCGTCTGTGCATTAGTGGTAAGAACATAAGATGAGACAACACTAGAAATAGACCCGTCAAAACCTCTTTTTATGCCTTGATCTAATTGTTTTTGAGTAAATATAGCTTCAAGATATCACACTCACCGTTTATAATTACTAAGCCAACTTAAGTCTCTTGATATAAATAGAAGTCGGGACAAAAGGCTGGGAGTGCTGGTGCCTTCGAGAACATTATTATAATGCCACCTACTGGCGGCGCGGCGGGCGACCAGAGCGGACCGAAAAGATTAATATTAACCTTATTTTACGTGCGATTCGCATTGCACACGACACATGGTCAGAAGCAGCTGAGCCGACCTGCGCGGCGACCTTTTGCGGCCTCGGTGATGCGGCTCCGCGGCAAAGATTTGAGAAGCCAGCAGTTAAGTGGGGGACATTTTACAGCAGCAAATAAAGCTGCATCATAACATCTGCCATCAAGACCCTGTCGCTCTGATTCATCCGCCATTTGGACAATTTGTTAAACTATTAATCTCTCGGGGTGACAGAGCCTCTAAAGAGGTGAACGGTTAACGTACGAGAAAAAAAACAAAAAAACATCCACATTTCCATCTTTATTCTGGTGGCGTCTTTTAGTGCATCGTCAAAAGTAAACACAGCCACATGAAAAGGCTGACCGACACCGTTAGTAGTGAAATTCATCATTCACTTCATTTCCGCAGTCAAAAAGGAACTCGCAGTGCCGTAACATTGGCACGGGAGGTTAAAACGCCACATAAAACCTTATGACAATGTGGTCGAATGCGCTTATTGGGGGAAAGGGATAATATCCCATTCGAATAACTCGGATCTGAGGTTTTTTTTGATCCTCTTCCTGTCGCCGGGCAGCTCGGCTGTTTTATTTATTTCATTTGAAGTGTCGCCCCCGCCCCTGCACACAACATGTACGCAATGTGAACCTGCACGTGCAGCTCAACATTGAGCAGTGCTTCCTCTGAGCACATTTATGGAGGAGCGGTAGCAAGGATAAACGTGAAAGAGGCCCTCGCCCTGCTTCCTACAGATCAGGTCCCGCCTTCCACTGAAGGAAGTCCAACCGAAACAAATTAGCGGGCCGAGGAAAGAAAAGATCTGGCCGTGCGCTACAGTACAGACTAATTTTTATGTGCTTTAGCCAGGAGGGACATAAACCAGAGCGGTTTCAAACTGTGACACAGAATAGAGGTGTATAAAAACAAAATCCCCCCCCCCCCCATTTTGCAAGCTTCTATTGTGCTGTCATGTTGCTGCGACTTTATGGACTTTTGGAACACGAGCCCCCAACCTCCTTTTTTGGGGGGCGGAGGGAGGGATTTTGTGGGGGGGGGAGGTAATCAATTAAACAAGGAAGTTTTCTGAGCCATACAACTCGATTATTAGCCTGTCCTTTTGAAGTTTTATTTTGGGGGGCCGGGGAAAAGGGGAGGCAGGGGTGGGGGGGGGGGGGGGGGGGTGACAAGGAATCAGGCTCTAAATCAGCGGAGCCGATGCAGCCGCGTTGAAGCGTTTGCAGCCCCCGCGGCCTTATTGGGAGGGTTTGTCAGGACGTGGCGCTGGGCGAAGTCCAGGTTCAGACTTTCATGGTTAATGAAGTTTTTCTGCGGTGGCGGTTACAGTCGGCGGCGTGAGTCGGGGAGGGGGGCCGAGGACACGGCACCTGCTGCAGGAAACAGGCCCTTTGCATGCAGAGCAAAGCACGGGCACACGGGAGGCACAGAAGAAACGGCGTTCTGCTTCTGTATCGTTTCAGTTACAGTGTCATCGATCACTTAATTCCCAGGACCAAAGTTTTTCTAAAACTAATATTTAATTTATAGCATTTTTTCTTTTTTTGTGATGATCGTTGTGCGTCGAAATGATGCAACAAACGTAAGGCAACGCACCTTTTTAGAACCTGCGAATCCCTCCGACTCCAGGAAGAAGTAGGCAAAGGGCATCAGGACAAAGAGACACAGGTTGGAGAACAGCGACACCAGGTTCCACAGACCTGCAGAGACCAAACACATCAGTCGGTAAATATATTATTATAAATATATTTCTATATATATATATTTTTTTTTTATATATATATACATACATAAAATCCTGTTTTAATGTCTAATCGTGTCAGGCTCAGTGAGGTTACATGAACAGGTTGTGAGGTGCCAACACTGGTTTTAACTGTCCGTTCTCGGTCTTTGTGTCCAATTCATGGACTCTGACGCCCCCTGGTGGATGTTGTTGTAACAACACAAATACTAAACTTTCAGCATCAAAGACAGAATAAAATTCATATCAATATCAAACAGTAGTGACAACAACAAAGAAAGCTCCAGAGGAGATGCAACTTTCTAAAAACTGACACAAAACAAAAGAAAGATGCAAATTCAAAAAGAGTTTGGTCACAACAGTCTATTAATATATTCTTTTAATCTAGCTCGTGTTTTAAGTGGTGATCTTTGAGTAAAACTGAAAACTTGACAGGGCAACAATGCCTCTTCTTTTTTGTGTTGAATCTACTATGTTTTATCATGTCATTTGATACCTTAAAACAAACTGGATTAAAATAAGTGCTGGCTAATAGGTGATTATAGGTTATTCCAAAAAACAAAAAAGGCAAAAGGAAGACGACATGAGATCGATCCACTGACCATGAATGAGGGAGCCATTGAGCCACTGAATGTAATAGTTTTTGGGGAAGGAGAGGAGGATCTCGTTACTGATGATGGAGAAGGGCAGCAGGAAGACGGCACCACCCGACACTGCCAGCGTGAAAGTGCACAAGTATAATCTGGGGACGGAATCCAAACACAAAGCAGAAACACACACGGGTCAAAGTGGAAACACGTGTAGAATGTTTAAGGATGTCACAGGAAATGAGCTGTGATATAACAGAGTCACTGCGTTTACAGCAAAGCAAACGTGACGGAAATGTTGAATCTATTATAAAAGGCTGGTTTAGTTTGAGTAATCCATTCATTGTTTCAGCTCCAATGAGCAACATATTTATTTACTTTATTTAAGTAGCTGACTAACTTTCTGAACATATTTGCTTTTTTTTATATGAAACATGAAGATATGAACAAGTTTGTCAAGTTAAAAGCCAGGTGCCGCTTAGTAGATACGTTGTTCCAAAAAGAAAATTTACCGATGGTAAATTTACTCACGATATTCTATTGACGACCGCATCTTCATCTTCGTGGTCATCTATAAAGGGAACCAAAACACAAGGTGTGAATCTTCCGTCTGTCTCATGCATCGCAACCTGCTTCAAGCAGCACAAAGGTAAAACATCTGACATTTTCACATCCGCAGATACCAACATGCATGGTTGTGTTGTTAGCTTAATAAAACAGCCCAACCATCTACATGCCTCTCTTTGTTTCAAAATGAAAGTAATCCATCTCATTTCATAGTTATGTGCAGGTGCTCCTATTCTGTGAAAACACTTTTTTACAAAACCTTCATAGAAATCGTGAAATACTTTGATTTCTTAGAAGAAACAGGTATTTACATTTACGTTTTATTTACAGGCATTTTGTTCGTTGTTGGGTGAAACAGTTCCATGAAAAAGTGCTTCTATTTTTGCGAACCCTTTAACTGAGAGGATTAAGCTTCCAAACCACTGGTGCAAAGAGAAGAGCGGCCTGGATGTCTACTGCACACTGGATGTCCACTTTCCAAACGAGACGAGGGAGACCAAGACGACCGGGACACAGGTGGCCGATGTCCGATCACAGTCTCCTCATGTCTCCCCGCTGTACCTCCAACGTGTCGGATGTTACAGAAGAACATCTCAAGCTCTCCGTGTTTCCTAATAGACAAACGTTGTATTGGTCCAGTCCCTAAAGCGCTTGTGGGCGGACACGAGTCACACCGATAGAAAGCTGCCGGCGTGAGATTACTCTGCAGGCCTGGGTGTGGTGTCTCAAAACACCTAAAGCCTTCTTGGAAGTGACTTGCTTTCAGTCCCAACACAACAGAGGGCTCGGTCAGTGAGTAAATACACCGCGCACGCCCTTCTGCCGTGGAAGTGCTCCGGTTTGACGCTTTCGGCCGATGAAATCATACAGCTTTCTGCCCCCGTGGAGGGAGAGTTCCTACGTGACACACTTACCGCTCTTCTTCTTGTATCTCGTTATGATGAAGTAGGACACGATGTAGAGGACTGCGAACAGGAGGAAGCAGATCTGAAACGACAACGTCAAGAGTCTTGGTCAAGGATTGTATGATATGTGTAGTTGGTCTTTTTCTGTTTGAATGTATGGTCTCTGCAGCACAATGTCCAGAACACGGAGTGCTTCCATATTTGCTTTTAACCATTCTGTAACCCCCCCCGTGTTCTAATAATACCCAAAATGATTTGTGCAATGTGGAAATATGTACATGTCTGCTTTCCAAAAGCGACTCTACCTGTGGTTCAGGCTTTATGAAGTGTTCTCATTATTACAGAAATGCTTCATTATTAACGTAAAGTTCAAATTGACCCTATTTATTTCAGCATAAAGTAAAATAGTAATCATTGTTTTCCAATGTATGACATGCTCATGCGACCAACAGTTTGTGCAAAGTGGTCCAGAAACGGCCGCCGCGTGGGAATGTGTCACCTAACCGCGGCCTCAAAACACGCAGAAGGATCCCATTCCACATTTCCCCCCTTCTACTGTGACAGTGACACAACTAATGTTAGAAGCTCCCGCTTCAGCACCTTGCACCCCGTCAACATTGGATTGGGAAAGCTGGGCTCATGAGATGACATGGTGCTGTATGTCTTATCACCTGAGTCCTCTTTCCAAACGAAAGACAGCTGATTTAAAGACCGGGGCTACAAAGAGTTCTGCTGGGACCTCGGGGGGAAACACAGAGGTATGTGCAGGGAGCTGATGGACTGGCAGAGACGCAACACGGGGGTCCAGGAAGATACAACAACAACAACAAGTCACAGGCAGAGCGGAGGCCAACGCCGCTGCCCATCGGGAAACAGAAAAGAAAGAAGTAACAACAAATGTAACGGCTTGTGAGCGGTTTGCACGCACCATCCAACCATGGGGACAGTATTTCACACCTTTATGCAGTGAGAACTCGAGCTGCAGGGGAGGGACACTTATGTCATTTGACAATTCCTGCAATGACTTCAGGCGCTGTGGTAAATGTTGTTCAAGAATTAGACCTGTTTAGCAGGAGTCTGGTTTTAGATGTTTCCACGTTAGACAAAAGTTAATGCAGTTGAAGGCTGCAGACAGGAGATAACCTGATTAACAGAGGACGGCTGAAGAAACCTAAACACCAGGCCATGACCCCTGTCATTAGCCACAACAACACTTTTACAACATGCTGTCAAAGCGTGCTGGAAGAACTTACTTCACTCTGTCTCCTAAATGGTCAAAATATTTTCTTAGGAAAGTGGTTGTTCAGGTTCAGGAATGTCACAACTTCTGCACGCCCTTCAACAAAGTGAACTTGTGTTTCCAAAACCACGTGAAAGCCTGATAATCATTTTCCGTCCTTGTGTGGAGGTGGAAGTGGAAGGTGTCATTAGTGACGGAGTCACCAGCTAGTCTCACTTTATTCCGTGTTAACTAGATTTCTCTTAAAACACTTCTTCAGGACGCCGGTGCGTCAGAAACCACTTCACCAAAACTCAGGTCTAGCATGCAAAGTACCACGTTGTCACCGAGTCATGTTTAACAAGTATGAAACTCAACGCAGAGTGGCCCCGGCACGCACAACAACACACAGAAATCAATCTGACTCACATTGAGACAGGAAGGAGCCATTACGATGGTGATACGGGATACTGGGAGTCAGATGCAGAGCGATAAGCAGGACAAAATGTGCCATCCAAAGCTGAGCTGTTCAGCTCGTCTGAGAGGTGAAACCTTTGATAGTTACTATTCTAAGAGTAATCAAGTAGATTTACTCCAGGTTAAATTATCCCCTGTACTTTCTCATTTAAGTCGACTGATCCACAGAAAAAAGACGATCATCAGAGAGTGAAGATTAAGGACACTAAATGTAAAGCTGCAGTGGTTAAACATTTGCCAGACAAGAACACATCTTCTTACTTATAATATTACACAGCAAACTGCCTCCTCTGCCAATCACGTCATTACAAAACATGTTTCCTTCCTGAAACACAAAGTTTAGTCACTCACATCATCAACATCCAACCACAGGACCTCATGAGAACAAAGAGGACCTTTTACTGAAAAAGCCATTAAATCATCATGTGATCATCTGACAGGTCTGCATTTAACACAAACCGATGATCAAACCGAACACGTGTATTTTCCGAACGTGTAATATCCGAACACATATTTGAGCAGGGAAACATGAATATTATAATCTAACCTGTTTGTAACGTAACGTTATAATATAAATAAAGCCTACAAATGAAAGGGATTTCAAAAGCAGATGTCCCAGTCCCCCGTTCAGCCTGAATGAGTGAGCACTGGGACATTGTGTCCACGTCTTCCTCCGTCAATCGCAGGTGTATTCATAACAGGTCTGTCCCAACATCGACGCCTCCACTGGCGAAGTTGTAACACGAACGCTAACGTGACAGCTAACTTTAATTAGCAGATGCGACCTCACGTGTGACGGACACACAACGGGACGTGTTGCACAAAACGTGGTAAAGTGGGAGCGAATCTGCAGCGTCTCACTGACAGGCGAAGCTAACGCTAGCCCCCCCCACCACCCGCAGAGCAGAGGGCGTTGTTAGCCTGCTAGCCTCCGCTAGCCGCTCCGGTAGGCTACTTACGATGTACTCTCGAACTTGGCTGTGGAAATTCTGCTCTCGGATAGAAACATCGTCTTCTTCCATTCTTCATATTGCAAATACGAGAGAGAGACAAAAAAGAGCTATTAGATTCACCGCATGTTAGGTTCGCGCAACAACTCCGGTGTCTTCGTCCCCTCCAGCAAATATTGCCCCGACTGGTTAAGAGACAGTTTACATCGGAGAACCCGCCGCTGCGTGCAGTAATAAAAGAAACCCGCCCATAAATAAAGTACGTCATCACTGCGCGCCGGCTCCTCGGCGCGCCCTGGAAGCAAATGCTCACGTGTTTTGTGGGTCACATAAACAGTTTTCTACACGGAGCTACATGTGCGGTTCGTGGTATTTATGTATTTTAAATAGGGGGGAATTCTCAGCGGGGGGTTTGCGTATGTAGATTGTTTTAAACCCTTTGCGGATGCCACCGTTAGCTTGTTCGCTACGTGTCTGTCGCTATTTTCCGAAAGAAGGGTAACGGCCGGTTGAGTTCACGTGTCCGCGTCAAGTTACGTTTTAGAGATGAAGGGGAAATTTAAGAAGAACAGCAAAAAGAAGAAGAAGACGAACGTTGTGTTGCACAAGTACATGGTGGCAGTTGATGATTTTTTAAAGAGCAAAAGTGTCACTGAAGAAGAGGAATCTGTCCAAGGCTTGAGGGTTGTAAAACAGAAGAGCAGAAAAGAGCTTCGCAAAGAAACCCGAAAAAATAAAAAAGCCAGAATGAAATGTTACTATGAGGGTAAAAAAAAAATCGACGGTGAAAACTCTGAAATAGTAGTTGATAATCCACAGCAGCAGAAGAAGAAGAAAGGGGCGAAAGCGAAGAAAGAAGTGTCAAAGTCCTCCAGTTCTGTTCCAGACAAACCAGACGGCTCTGAAGCACCATCGTCTTCCAAGAAAAGCAAGAAACTCAGCAAACTTCAACAATCAAGGAAAAGGGCACTCCTGGAGGCAAATGAAGAGGAAGACCGGGAAATAAAGAGATTAGAGCGACGCCTGGGATTAAACAAGAGGAAAAACAAGAAGACCCTCCCTCAGTCGTTCTCGGTTGATGGACTCGATTACATCCTCGGTGTGCTGGACTCCGGCTCATCGGCCGCGGCCTTGTATGACGAAGATGATGGCGATGAAGACATGGAGAAGGCCGTGGACAACTTTGAAAAACTCGATGAGAACAACCCCGAACTGTCCGATGAGGACGGGAAACCTGCAGATGAGATGGCGAGTGAAGGCAGTGATGAAGAGATGGCTTCATTTGATGACGAAGATGAGGTTGATGGGAACGACGACGACGACGGTGAGGATGACGAGGATGCTGACGATGAAACTGTTGAGGAAAAGGAAGTGGACGCTGAGCCGGATGAGAGTGATGCCGCTGACTCCGGCAATGAAAACGATGGTGAAAAAGAGGAAGAAGCTGACGCTGAAGACACGGCGACGTCGGGCTTGAACTCTGAAACGGTGAGTTCACAAACGATCCTTTCATTATTTCCGAAGCGCTGACTTCTCATTTGCTGTACGATGGATCTAATTGTAGGACACTCGTTCTAATGTCCAGGTCAACGCTGCAGCGGGCAAGTATGTGCCGCCTCACTTAAGAGGCGCCGGAGATGAAAAACGCAAAGCTGAGCTGGAAAAGCTGAAGAGGACCGTGAAAGGCTTGATGAACAGGTACTTGTTATTCTATAGCACAGACGTAGCGCGTCACCCTCAACACAGTGTTTTGCAGGTGCGTCAGAAAACATTAATTTGATATTTGCTGCGTCAGGGATGTTAACTCAGTTTGATGCTAATACATTCCCATAATACGCACGTTTACACTGCGATTAAGCATTTACACGTTTGCCGCTTTTTCTGCTAAAGCTGCGTTTCTTTATTTCAACAATCCTATGAAAGTTTTTTAAAAATATGTTTCTGTGATTTTATGCGTTAATATTCATACTAATTGTTGTTGGCTGGTTTTGCCCATTGAACGGTCCAAAGCACAAACATGTTAATCCTAACAGGATACGGAACGCCTGATTCCTGATGACTCGTTGTTTAATCCTTCAGGCTGACTGAGCCCAACATGGCGTCCATCAGTGGCCAGCTGGAGGAGCTGTACATGAGCTGCAGCCGGAAGGACATGAATGACACCCTGACAGAGGTGCTGCTAGCAGCCTGCGTCACCCCGTCCCTGATGCCCGACCGGCTTCTGATGGAGCACGTCCTGCTCGTCAGCATCGTCCATCACGCCATCGGAATCGAGGTAAGCGCACCGCTTACTTCGGTGCTCGAATGGCCCCTCATTGAATAGTTTTTACCTCCTGATGGCTTTTGAGACATTCTTTTCACGATGACCGCAGGTGGAGGATGGCTTCTTTTTTTTTTGTAGCTCATGGATTATTCATTGGAGGCTTTTTTAAGGCAATTACTGCCTGTGCAGACTTTCACAGAATGATGATGCTCTCTTAATGAATTGGAAAGTTAAATCCAAATCTTCACTTAAGGTGTAATTCAACTATAATCTCTGTTGTATTGACTTTCCATCTTGTAAATGACCCCAAACAGGATCATCAGTAGAATTAGCCACAGCCAACAGATTGCTTTCCACATAGTGGAATTTTAACATGATACATGGTTCTTTTTCTGTAAGATATCCTGTAAATATCTATAGTTTTTCAATTCAGTACTCTTGCTACTGTATTAATTATCATTTAACATATTCCCTAGAATATTAACCAACGTAAATTGGTAAATTTTGATGATTTTTCCAGGTTGGAGCTAATTTCCTCGAGTCTGTTGTGCGAAAGTTCGACGAAGTGTACAACAACCCGACCGAAGGCAAAGAATGCGACAACCTGGTCGCTATTGTGGGTCACCTCTATAACTTCCAGGTGGTGCATTCTGTCCTCATCGTTGACATCCTCAAACGTTTTGTCGGAGCCTTCACGGAGAAGGACATCGAACTGGTGCTGTTGGTGCTGCGGAATGTCGGCTTCTCCCTGAGGAAGGACGACGCTCTGGCTCTCAAGGAGCTCATCTCGGAGGGCCAGCGCAAGGCCCGCGACCTGGGCTCCACGTTTCAGGACCAGACCAGGGTAGGTCAAACAGAAGTTCCTCTCCCTTTTTTTTAAATTTACCCTCATCTACACCTCAGGCTGACTGAGAATGACCCTCGTTCTCGGATCATCACACGTCTATGTGCACACGTGCTTTAGGTGCGTTTCATGCTGGAGACCATGCTGGCTTTGAAGAACAACGACATGCGGAAAATCCCCGGCTACGATCCGGAGCCCATGGAGAGACTGAAGAAGCTGCAGAGGACTCTGGTGGGTGGTTCGATTTGAAATATCCTGATTTAAGGTTATTGGTGAGAATTGAATTTGGATTCTTAATAAGTAGCGTACATGCGACGGTGTTGACCCTCCTACTGAAGACGGTTATTGTGTTCTTTCAGGATATTATTTTCATAGTAGCTTCGGCTTGTACCACCAGGTGGCCCTAGAGCCCCTCCTTTACAGACCTAAAGTCCACAGTATATGGGATGCTTTCATCATGACCATGAGTTGAAGCGGTTTTAACGATTTGCTAATTTGGTTTCCTTCTTTGATGTTGTATAACCGGCGTTTTCTCGTCCCAAGTGGACTTATGGTTTATCCTGGGTAAATTGTGTCACTCAGATCCAGCGGCGGGCCGGAGGCAGCGACATGAAACTGCGGGTGTCTCTGGACAATCTCCTGGCTGCAGAGCACGTGGGCCGCTGGTGGATCGTCGGCTCCTCGTGGAGCGGCGCCCCCATGAACGCCGAGCAAGGCAACGCGGCCTCGACAGGCAGCGATGCTGGAGGGCAGGTGCGGTACCGGAGATCGTAATCCCAGTGCAGATCTGTAAAAGTTAGGCCATGTTAGGAAAGCATATGCTGAACTGATCATGTTCAATGTTGTCTGTGTTGCAGCATTTATATTATCTGCATTAATATATTTGATTTTTGCAATTTCTGGTTTAACTAATTTATCTTGCAAAAAACCTTTAACATTAAAGATAATTGTTTGGTCCCTGAATAGTATTTGTTGGTGTATTGACAATAATATTTTAATGCGTAAGAAGACAAAAATGATTTCCATTTTTTATTAATTCAACTTGGTGGGTGTTGGGTCTGGATATTTAACCTTAAAATGTTAATGTGCACCAATGAAGTTTTCCAGTTCTTATTCCCTGCCCATAAACATTTTTAACGTGTAAACATATTTTACTACATTTTTCTAGTTTTCCTTTTTGACAAGCATGTAGAAAAACTTAACTGGGTCAAAATAATTTTAATAAGTTTTAAACAGAATATTTCAGTAATCCAGCTCTTGTATTTGACTATCCCTGACTTTTCACTCTCATTTGTTATTAATTTCAGTTTAGCGCCAAAGTCTTGGATCTGGCTCGGAAACAGAGGATGAACACTGATGTCAGAAGAAACATCTTCTGTGTGATAATGACCAGCGAGGATTACTTGGATGCATTCGAGAAGCTGATCAGGTTTGTTATCACTCACCTGTACAGTGTGTCTCCACGTTAAGTTGGAAGCACAGAGGCAGAGAGGAGGAGATGCGACGGGTCCCGTCGAAGCAGCCCAGCTGTGAGGGTAAATGATGTAAAAGCTTTTCCTTTGCTGTGTGTGAAGGATGGGCCTGAAGGACAAGCAGGAGAGGGAGATTGTCCACGTGCTGATGGACTGCTGTCTGCAGGAGAAAACCTTCAACGCCTACTACGCTGTCCTGGGAGAGAAGTTCTGCTCCCACGATCGCCGCTTCCAGGTACTCGGCTGGTGAAACACACATTGTGACGACTCCCAATTCCACATCAGGAATCAAAATTGTTTGATGTGTTAATATAAAATTGATTTTTTTTTTTTTTTTTTGAGTTACATTTCCTAAAATAAAAATAGTTTCAGTAAATAGGGTTAATAAGGACTGCGGTTTTAAATTTGGTGAGGTCATTTCGCTGTACACGTCACTACGAGTTGTAAATGGTTAAACCGCCGGCCGGAGGTCGTGTGACCAACCGAGTCTCTTAAACTGCGTGTGACCTGCGTCGCGCGGCCTGTGGTTCACCTCTGCAGCGTGGGAGCCTCTCGCACCTCTCGCCACTGATGTTATTTGACTCAAACTGTGACTGCAAACAATGGGGGGTGAGACCACGCTTCCTACTCTGCTGCCAGGTAGGCCGCGGCTTCGTATCAGAGGCCGACGATCATTGTCCTCGTCGAAGCGCGTGAACCAGAGATGCTGCAACGTTTGCTTTTCTCATGTAAACTGGAGAGACTGCAGAGCTCGCTACGGTTCTCTGTACTTTCTGCTGCTCTTCTGGGGAATCTATAATTTAGTGTCTTATGTTCTTCAAGATGACTTTCCAGTTCAGCCTGTGGGACAAGTTCAGGGAGCTGGCCAACCTCCCCAGCAGCACCATGAACAACTTGATTCAGCTAGTAACCCTCTTCCTTCAGAGGAAGTGCCTTTCACTCTCCATCCTCAAAGTAAGTGACGTGTCGGGTGGCGGTTTTTACTGTTATCACATTTAATCAGTAGATGTTGTAAATTCAATTAAATCGTGATACCCATTCGCCAGTCTGTGTGTTTTTTCTATGTAGGTGATAGAATTTGGAGAACTAGATAAGGCCACGGTGCGCTTCTTGCGCCATGTGCTCACCAAACTGCTGAACGACATGGATCCCGAGGACCTCGCCGGCTTATTCGGACGGTGAGCCTCTACATGCACTTTCTTCTTAGAGGTTTGGAGATTTAAACATGCTAATTAATGCAACGGTAGGAACTGGAAGACCAAGAGTGTACAGCCTCGCGTTCTGCAGCCCTGTACTGTGCAGAGTGTCTTATAGGAAGGTTGTAAATCAAAGAGACTGTATTTGACCTCCATAGTGGCACTAGATGAAAAGTCGGGGGACAACCAGTCAAATGCATTCATCACCTGGAGACCACGAATGTCCACATTTTCATGGCAGTCCAGCCAATAGATGTTTCCGCGCGTGTCCAACGTCAAGCTGTTTAAGCGTCTTGCTGCTTCGCACCGCGTGAACATATGACATCAGTGTCCCTCATTGTTTCAAATCCACCAGGATTTCAGGAATTCCCAAGCTAGGAATGCTGCGGGAAGGCTTGAAGCTTTTCATCAGCCACTTCCTGCTGAAGAACGCCAAGTCCCGGGGACCAGCTGAGCAAGCAGCGACTCTGTCAGAGCGCGCTCAGGTCGCCACGAAAGCCATGGAGGCCAAGCTCAAACTGTAAAACACGACCACACACACACACACACACACACACAAGAAGCCCAACAGATGTACGAAACCGGATTGTGGAACAGAAGAAGACTTCGTCTCTTTACACAAAGAACCCAAACCTACAGTTTTCTTCGATGAAGAATAAATGTGTTTTTGAAATTAAATTAATGTTTTTTTTCGCTGGGGAGTCCTTGTACATAATTGTTACCACGACGATTCTTTTTACTCGCGTCAGTCATTGGGCCGTGTATATTAATCTTATTCAGTGCGTCTTGGTTGAGTCTATTTTGCAAAAAAATGTCATAACAATTTGAAAGCAATACTGTGGATGTTTTATATATTTTCATTTTTATATTTGTTCTCCCAAATTTTCCATGTGTCACAATTTGAAAAGCATCAATCAAGGAAGCATCAATAATTCCAGACAAAAGCTTTGACTCCTTTTTTAGAGAAAAAAAATATATATAAAATATATTTTCCGACACTCATTCTTCCTCTATGCTTTATTTTCCTTTATCTGAGATCACCTTCATGAACGGCATACGCGGAAAGAGTTGAGATTGTGCACCTGGACCTGAACTTCTAGCCTTTACTAAGTCTATTTACTCTAAAGCATCTAATATTAAAGTCTGCTGGCTTTAAATGCAACCGCATGGTGAATATTTGCACGTTGTGATCCTTCTCTGTTGATGTTTCCACTCGGCTTGCTGCGAGTGTGACACAAACAAGAGCAGCGAGGGCGCAGAGCGACGGCGGCGTCGTGCATTCTGTTTGCCCACCCTGATGAAGCAGCCCTCCCTGTTTGCTCGCTGACACCAGGATCTGCCCGCGTGGTGAGCATAGCAGAGCCCTTCCGTTACATTTGATACTCGCCCTTGTTAATTAGCTCCCGTCGGTGCGGCCCGCATCCATCCAGAGGCTGGAGGTCGGCGACGGGCCGTCCAAGGTCGACCAGAGGAAACAACGCGACGTCACGCCGGTGGAAGGGATGTTTCAATCACGTGCAACATTTGAGACGCCGGCGGGCTTTGGTGGCGGAGATGTCTCTTTTTTGTGATTTGATGATGGAGACTACCGGGAGAACACCGTGAAAAGAGCTCGCTGGGCACTCCACACACTGGCCATTGTCTGCGGTCGAAGCCGTGAGCTCTCACCTGTATTCTGTTTGGGTTTGACCCCCAGCTGAACTCTTGGTTCAGTCTGCCAAAGCAAACAGCTGAAGATAACCAACAGATCGGCCTGTAATCCTGTTGCAAACGGCACACAATCAGTCAACCGCCTGCTGTAGTCTCGACTGCGAGAACATGGGCAACCAGGAGGACCTATAAAGTAACACAGATGAGTTACTAAACCGGTCCTAGGTAATGAAAGACGATCAAATTAGATATTGACGTATTAGTTAATAAAACACCATGAGTGAATGTGCTTGTTTAGGTAGGAAAAGTAGGCTGATGGTATGTTTTGTTTGCGTTTGAGGAAGTTGACTTTTCTTTTTCTCTTGAGCTCATGCAAATCACCGACAATGTTCGTTATGTTTATCATTGTTTTGTCTGGTTCGATGATGTTTGGTGTTTTTCATTCAAGGTGAGAGCAATGAGACTAGTAACAAAGCAGCACATTATTTAAATCTGCTTTTATAATATCAAATATTTTTTGCTTCTTGCTTAATGAAAACAGTGCACAAGCGGCCATTTAGAAGCTTTTTCTTAATGCGAGTCCATTGCCAGTGTGGTGTGAAATGTTTCCGCTGTTTGCGCTCTCCGCACGTTTGCACACATCCGACAGCGCTGTAAACAGTGATTCCCATGACCCGAGCTGTCAGACGGGAGAAAAACACGCGCTGAAACACTGCGCGTCACGTCGTAAATCAAAGGACTTTATTCTTCTGTTTTCGTTTTTAAAACCAGGAGGCCAGCTGAATTTTTATATAAAGCTTTTTTTTTTTAACTTTACATTGTTTGCACCAGGAGCGACGCTAAACAATAACTTCGCATGCACGGGGATGACTATTTTATAAATACAGTATAGAAAAATAAACGTAACATTTATTTATTTTTACCAGCGTGATATGACACATTACGGAACACCACAAAGAACAACATGAGACGAATAACAGCGGGATATTTACTGCGCTGAGGACTACGTCAGCAGCAGGGAAAGAGCGCAAAGTTCTGCGCCAGTATGCACATAAACCATGCAACGTGTTCAGTGCTGAATGACGCTCCGATTAGAAACCTCCTGCTTTTATTGCTTGTTTACAAAAACCAAGATCACCTGTTCTCGACTTAAATTGTATTATTTTCATGAGAGAAAAGAAATGCCATGGAAGTGATTAGAGGCCGGATTACATGCAACTGCGTATTTATAGCAAAAATCCCCCCGCCGAGTTCATTACAAATGGGGATCGCCACCTTCGCCCCGGTTCGGCTTCAAGGCTGCGGACTTATGTCGCTGGTGTGATTCCTCTCGTCGTCCGAGGAGCTGTCTGACGAGTTGTACAAGAAGTTGTCGCCCTCGTCGTCGTCGCTGTCTCTAAAGTCTCTTATTCTGCCATTTTTTGAGTCCGTCTTGCTCTTATAGTCCGACTGGTCGTGTCCGTCCGATTTCTCCTGGGCGCCCTTGGTGCCTTTCTGCTTCTCGGCCTCCTGCGCGGCCTGCTCCTTGGCCTTCTTGCTTCTCTTCCACTTCATGCGTCTGTTCTGGAACCAGATTTTGACCTGAGGAGGAGAAAATAATTGACTTTCAGCGGTTTGAACGGGAGGCTGCATGTGCGTAAAGATTGCGTAAAGGTCACCAGGTCACCTGATATTAACCTCTGCTGTGCGTTTCAATTGCCCTACAATAAAAACATGACTTTCTTTAATTAATTATTATCAAATGGAAATAAAATATCAACCACATGGTCAGACTGCAAATTCCCCAATGGCCGATTGAAATAATTGGAGAGAACTTCTAAGGTAACGTCTAAATTATTATTTTTTAAAGATACTGGTTGTACCTGCTTTTAAAAATCACTGAGATCATCAGCGGAAGTGCATTGTAAGAACTAGTTTACCTGAGTTTCTGTGAGCATGAGGGACGTCGCCACTTCGAAGCGCTTGGGTCGTGACAGGTACTTATTAAGTTTGAATTGATGTTCCAGCTCCAGCAGCTGCTGACTTGTGAATGCGGTTCTTGGTCTTCTGCACTTGCCAAGCAAATTGGACTGAGCCTGAGCTGCAACAATAAAAAATAAAAATAAAAAAAAAACACGAAAGCATCAGTGCCACACACATAAAACAGCGCAAAATGACGAACAGTGTTCCTTTGGCTGATGCTGAAATAATGACATGATTCCGCGTTGTGAAAGGAATCGACCGGCCGTTGTTGTAATAAACTGAATATGTGCTCTCTGCTCAAGGAACAAGGTCATCCACTTATGAATATCTCCACGGAGAAGATATTTGCCACTCCGTTTTGAACAAATCTGTTAAAACGAGCGGAGACAAAAAGGTAGTATCTGGTGAGCAAATAGCATGTCAGCTGTGGGTTTCACACTGCTCTGCCACTTTCCCACTGTCCATTATCTGTCCATTTTAGTTCCTCTACATCAACACCACAGCCTCTTCATTCAGGAGATCGTAATACGTGAGGGGAATAGTGCGCCAAAATGGACAAATTAATACTTCATTTTCACCCAAAATAAGAATTCAATTGCTTTGTATATATTCGTCCCAGTGACGTAATCTGTCTCGGAGCAGCATCACTGAGGCCGATCTATTTCATATTTATGAGCAAAACACATCAAATAAAGCAGGCTTTTGGATTACCTTCACACATTTTATATCAACCCGGGTCACCGCACATAACCAAAGATGCATCTATTAAATAATTTTCTTTGGAGAGAAGAAGAGAAGCCATAACGCCGTGTCACCAAACAGCTACAAGCCTATACTCACAATTAAAGTCGGACATCTTGGGGAGCATCATCCCGGCCGTGGACACCCGGAGCCAGTGGTCCAGCTGGAAGGTGCTGGCCGTCAGTTTGATGGGATCGCTGTGGTGGTGATGGGAGCCGTGTGGGTACGAGTAGGACAGCGCCGGGTGTTGGCCCGTGAGCGCCGCCGCGGAGTAGGTGTACATGGGGTGTCCGTAGAGAGCCTGCGCGGGAATCCCCGCGGTGCTCTGCGGGTGTAATCCAACCATGCCGTGCGGACTGTTGAGGAAGCCCGGCTTGGGAATCAGCCCGCAGTTGGAGATCCGCGGCGGAGACGGCGTCTCGGTGCGTAAGGAGTCGACGCCGGTCAGCTCCGGGGCCGCGGACGACTGGATGGAGGAGGACAGGGAAGTGACGAGCGCGAGCGGAGAGGTCTGCGCCTTGGGGGTGTCGACTGCTAAAAGCGCGTCAATGCGAAAGTTTTTAGATTTCTCCATTTTTTGGGGGGCCCCCGGTGCGCGTCTCTGTGGCTTTGGTGGCGAAGGAGAAGTCGGTGCTGTTTTTTCCCACCTCTCAAAAGTTAGTAGGCCCCGGAGGGCATTTGGGGGCTCTATTGCCTCCTAGTCCCAATGGGGGGTCCGTTTGGGCCCCCGGCCCCGGGGGGCGGAGGGGGGGGGGGGGGGGGGGGGGGCGTCCCGAGCGTCACAACGCCCCTCTGCGCGAATCGCCGTAAAGCGCAGTGTTGGCTGCGCTCGCGCTTTTATGAGTATTGCTATTGCAGGAAAAATGACCTAAACGTTAGAAATAAAACGCAAGGTTTTTGATAAATTATAACTGGGTGTTATTTTTTTTGCGTATGACATTCAGCGGGCCTACGGAGAAAAAGGCTAACTAAAGGAGGGATTTATTATAATGTACAGGAGCCAGCGTGCGGTGCATTTTGGGGGATTGGCTCACTGTTTGACCAAGGTCACAGGAACAGGTGTACTAACATTTGATTAAACATCGGCAGGCACTCTAAATTGTCAACTTAAATATAAAAAATAAACTTTTTTTCTTGACATGAAAACATGGGGTGCGGATATTTTCCCATAAATGAATTGAACTCAAACAGGGTGCTTCTGTCCCGGAGCCGTTCTGGTTCATCTGAGGGCGGGAGATGGTTACGCAACACACTGTTCAGCTCGAACCTGAGAGCTGAAAACAAAATAGTTCAAATAGTAAATTGCAGTTTAGTCCAAATCATGTTGAATGTAAACCAGAATGCGTTAAGGTGACGTGACCGGTTATAAGACTGCTTATTGAAATCAGATGGCATGATCAAATAAATAAATAGTCTGTTAAAAGAATGAAAGCATCTTGAGCCGAAGCCCCCCCGCGAGGCCGTCAGGGAAATTTAAGTAAAAGCCCTCCTTCTGTCTCCCTGCCAGGCTGATGGGGGGGGCAGACGCCCACCAGGCCGCTGTAATGGCGCTGTGGGTCCAAATTGATTACGTTGAATCAGACTGCGTCTGACGTAAAATATTAACAAACACTTTTTTTTTAAACTTTCGGACAAAATGAGACATTCAAATTCGATTTTTTTCCCTCCCCTGTTCGTTGTTGGTATTTTACTTGTTAGAAAGAGTCAGCGTCAAAATAAGTCAAAAATGTAATTGAAAGAACCTCAAGTGAGACCAGGAGAGAGATGTAGATAATAGGCCCGTGGCTCCGGGTGGCTTCGGTCTAATAAGCCACTTAAAGTTAATGGAAGAGGAGGTCAAAATGAGAATTATTGACACCCAGTTGCCCTTAACCTGTCTACCAATAAAGCTGATTAGTTTTTGTCAATTCATCAGCTAACCGCACTCCTGGGACGTTTATTTGCTCGGGGGAAATCAACAAGTCACCGGGTAGTTTTCAGGTAAAGGATCGCCATTTAATTGTGGACCTTGATGATCAGGACCAATTACAGAATGATAACCGGAGGATTGATGCGGGAGGGATGTGGGCCCGCGGGGAACGTTGAAAAAAATAGAAGAAGAAAGACACAGTCAATTCACTGTATGCTTTAAACGTCAAAACTTATTTATGTGGCAAAATGGCTCAAATGCTTATCAGATATATAGTCACCAAATTTTCAGATGTTCCAGTTTTTTCACTTGAATCATTTTTCCTGAGTCTTAAAAAATAAAAATAAATAGAAATCCATTTCAATCTTGCATTTCCTTTTCTTTTCTTTATAATTTCTTAATTGCAATGGTTTTAAAAGATATACATTTGGACAAAGCGTGACAAAGAGGGGGTGAGTGTGCGTACTATATTTGTATTAAAATAGATATTATAACGGTCTAAGTACAGATCTTAGCATTTAAACAGTGGGTACAGAAAGTCTTTTTGTGCAGTTCCCTCTCCAATCGAAGGCATTTTATCAGCCTCCTGTATGATTATTATAACAACTGGACTCTCGATCGTCCCCACCGCGGGTTTAATTTCATTAAGGGGCTCGCATGAATATTTCTATTAAAGCGGCGGTGAAATATGGGCCCATTTAGTATTGGCCTTCGCCGATCACCAAGATTTATCGCTCCTTTTCATCACATCTAAGGGAGAGAAAATTAATACGGCACCGGGGAAGGAATCGGACCCTGAAACCCTGGTCTTTCCTGAAAGCTGTTAATATGCTCTGTAATTACTTTTACAATTAACTGAAATACAAATCAAAGTGGCAAATCGGGATAGTTTATATATTAATTACCTTCGGTAAATGTGTTCATTATGAAAAGGCAATTTAAAGGGACCTGCACTCTCATTTAACGTCATAAATACTTTCGGTTAAATTGGCACAAATGGCCGCTTCTATGAAATGTATTAAAGTGCTTTTAAAAACATTTGTACCTCATAATCTTTTTTTTTCAATCCTATACATCTCATAATTTCCGTCCTCCTATCAATGTCAATGTGAGATCACTGCAGAAAAGAGAGACTCATTTCTCTCAAAGAAACAGCTGAATCAAACCAAACCAAACTCTTTTTGAAATGTGATCAATAGACGTTGAATGCGGCATACTTCACATGTGCGTCAGCATGTGAGCTTATGATATGATACACGGGCCTTGGCCCAATCAGATCTTAAACATTTGTCGGCATCATGTTCATGCCTTTAAAGCCTTTATTCGTTTAGCCTATAAAAAGCCCGATGAAATAAATCGTCATATGTTGACAAAAAGAGTAAAGGGCTCGATCCTACAAGTACTAATTTATGTGTCCCATACTTATAATGAAATGTTCATCACTGTTAAACCGAATTCAAAACATTTCATTAGTTTCTAAAAATGCAAAAACAAATATATAATAATTTAAATTTAGCATTATTAATATCAGTATTATATGTATTGAAACACGTGTATTAATTCATATTTTGGTGCCTTTGCCTGAAAGTTATTTATGTATAGATTTGTTACATTGGACAGTGTTATTAAAAAAATAAATTTTATTTACTCAATTTATCAAATGCAAACCAAATAGTGCATATATATATGGAGAATTATAAAGCAACATATTCCCAAATAAGATCTTTGAAGACTGACTTTTATGTGATGTCAGTTACACACAGAAATAACTCTCTTGTACTGTTAACAAGTGTTGTGTATTAACTTATTAAAGGGAGATTTACATGAAAATTAAGATAGAGCAAATAAACAAAACAAATCAGTAGGTTACACGAGCCTCTAAAAAACAGCGATATGACATAAACATAATAAATGACAGATCAGTGCAGCATTACAACATAACAAAGGCCTCATAATACCGATGACTCCTTCAAATACCTCCAGCTGTTTGCAGACTTCAACATTCATGAAAACAACTCACTCAAGATACAACATAGAAATATAAAACAAGAGCTTGTGCAATCTATTTCACATGTGATCAGTGTGCGTTGTAGAATATGTTATTCCTGTATGAGGTAGACTGCAATAGATCCAAGGAATGATCTTTGTTGTACATGTAATTAAGGACTGTGAAAAAATGAGCATCCACATGTTTCATTTTCTATTAGTAAATTAAATGAACCAGTTCAGTGCATTGAATAAACACTAAAACTCATACTCGACATATGAATAACAATCAACAGATTCAGTTACAACTTAAGGCACACATTAGACCCCCTTTATTCACCTTTCTGAGACAAGTTATGTGTGTTTATTGACAGAATTAGTCTTTTTGGGATGGCAGGATGGATGTTGTTTGGGTTGTATTCAACGGGTTTCTCTCGTCATTTCAAAAAGTAAATCATCACATCAAATATTGTTAGATATTCTGAGCACTTTAAGTTGTTTTTGTCCATGTTGGAAAACATTGGAACATTAAATATTTGTGGGCCAACACATACTAAAAGTCCTTAAAGTTCTCAGGGGTGAAAATGTGAACATGTGCTGAAACGTCAATGACAACCAACCAAACACCATCATGCTCTGTTGACATTGTTTTGTATCTTTTAATTATTTGCGTTTTTTTCAGCTGTGTAATGGGTTTTTATTTAATAATTTATTGTGTCATTAATAGTTAGTTGTGTGACTTGGGTAAATGTGTAATTACCGACTTCACCAATGAACTTTTTTATATATATTACCAACTTCAAGGTGATGCAAAGAGCATTTTGATTTGATGTAAAAATCACCTCCATTATATTTAACCAATCACAATCAATGTGACAATGTACTGAGAATACAATAAAATTGTGATTATGAAACAAATAATTTAGCGTGGTGTGCGTCTTAAATCTTAAAGATCCCGTCGACGTTACCGCTGTTAGAATATTCTCCATATATACATCCACACATACATGGGAGGCGGGCTCAAGCCGCTTGGTATATTGACAGGAATGTAATCCAATCCGTTGCTTGAAATTGCCGGAAGCGGAAACAGTAAAGTTCTCGGCTGCCTGTGTTGTGTTGACTTCTAGAGAGAGAGAGAGAGCAGGAAAAGAAGACCTGGCGTTTGGATTAACCTAAATTGCCTTCTCAGAGTTATTGTCCCCGTCTCACTCCTTAATTCAAAAGTCAAAGGTAAACGATTCTAATTCTCAGATGAGTTTCCTGTTATAAAACCGACGTCATAAAGGACATGCGGAGAGGAATACACCCCCCGTAAAGTTAGCGTCTCATGAGTACTTAGCTGCTCTGCTAGCTAGCCGCAGTGCTAACGTTAACAAAATCAAGTTGTTCACGAATAAATGAATCAGTACTACGCCACATCATCAATAAATGGTGTGTTATGTGCTGTCCCCGTGGCTGCCCGTAGTCAGATAACATAAACGGCCCCGTTGAGCTCCTGACAGCTGCTGAGTCATTAGCTAGCTAAGTTAACCGGCTAGCTAACTATTGTTGCAACCAAACTGAAGCTGTCAGCCGGTTAGCTAGCTGAAGTTAACCTCCGGTCTTGTCGTTTCAAAAGTAGCCCACGTTTTACGACCATGATTGTTTTAATAAAGCACAGAAATTGCTAACGACAAACGCAGGCACTTGCACCGCGTAGCGTTAGCCACATTTAATTGTTACTCAATTGGAGCCAAGTCACGAGCCGTTGGTTCATTTT